TATGCACTCAATGTCATTACCCATTACAAACATGCAAAGCAGACATAAGTGAGTATCCATACACATATACAAATATTTAGATATTTGAGTATAGGTGTAGTGCACTCCATATTAATTTGCTAAAGGGCGGCAAAGAAGGTATTAGGAAATCTTTATCCTTAAAGGGGCACTGGGTCCGGTGGGGATGAGATCCCCTGACCCAGCAGAGAGCAGGAAGAGGATTATCTGTGACCAGCATCTTGCCTAGAATCAGGGTTTTTTTCCCCCTTAACATCCACAGCAGATTCAGTCTCAAAGCAACAGCAGAACTATAATTTATTCCTCACTTTTTCTCTCAAGCTGTTCTTCATTTAGGAGATGTTCTGTTTCAAGAGGAATATATAGTTACACATTGGCACCATATGTGTCTGCACTGTTAGGCAGGGATGCATCCTCACAGTGTGCACGTGCCAGATAAGTAAATCCTACTTCTTTAAACGCCTGAATGTTTGACCTGAACCTCTTATTTTTTTTCCCATTAAAGATACTCCTGAACAAAATATATGGCCTCATCCCACTGGCCTTTTGCAGCTCAAGGCCATCGTGATAAATGTCAGTCTTATCTCTATTAATCAAATGATGCCCTGAGGCACACTTGGGTCTGTTACTGCCGGCCCCTCAACCACGTGGTCCCAGAATGGTTACCTTTATGGAGTTCTTAGCTACTTCTTTTTAGAGGCTATTAACTTATTTATTGCTGCTCTTAGTATTGGCGGCCTCGGGCACTGCTTCCCCCTTTACCATCTGATTGAACGCCTCTACCACTGGGAACACAGTGCATTTGTTATATTTTGGATCCCAGCAGCATTGCCATGGTCTTTTCAGTTCTTAAGATTCCGGGAGTTATTACTACCTTAAGCCAAAAAAAAAAAAAATTATTGTAAGGTTACAGGTGTTTCTCAAGGGCAAAGGTGAACCAGGGAAGCAGACGGGGGAGGACCTCAGCAGAAACCAGAGCCCCTTTTCTTAGTCTGGCTCACCTGTGCCTCCCTGCTGGTCTGCTTCCATCTGCCTCTGTGGACTACACCCTCGGCTTCCCCTTCAGCCTGATGGCTCCACCAACTCGGTTCCTGTCACCTACAGAGAACAAAGAGGGGCCTTTGTCCCATGCCACAGCCAGGACAGAGAATCAGCCTTGACCAGGTGTGGGGCAGGGTTCCGCCTGTGGTCCAATGAGCTGACCCTCTGCTAAGGTCACACAGGAGAAAAAGGGCTGCTGAGCCTGGAGGGAGAGGCTTAGCAAGCGACAAAGAAACCAGGTAACTGAAACTGGCTGAACTGCATCCAAAACAAATCAAGCTCCCTGAGACACCTGCGTTGCACCCCTATGAAGAGACAGGCTACTGTATTGTGACGTGTAGTTTGGTTTTTCTGAGGCCTTGGCTGCCTACTCCATGGTTTATTATCATTATTGTTATTATTGAGGTGTGATTCACATACTTTAAAATTTGCCCTTTTAAAATGTGCAACTTGGGGACTTTTAGTATAATCACAGCTTCTACAGCGATCACCACTATTCATCTCCAGGACATTTTCTACCGCCCTAAACGGACACCTCATACTCATTAGCAGTCCTTTCCCCCCAGTTCCTGGCAACCAGTAATCTACTTGCAGTTTCAAGACATTTGCCTATTCTGGAAATTTCCTATAAATGGAATCGTTAGGGAATAAGCATCTCAGTTTTTATTCCAAGTTCTTGCCTCCACAGAGACAGGAATTCAAAGCAGGGCCATAAATACAGCACACGAGTGAGAGCAGGATTTAGAAGCGCGAGAGAGAATATACATTCACATGTGAATGTGGGTAGCCAGCCCCACACAGAAAAATTCCTGTCATGAGTGGGCCAGGGAACTGCCTATGGGGAGTGGGTGTGAGAGGAGGCCAGAGAAGGACCCAAAAGAAAGACCCAGGAGCCGCAAAACCAAAACAGCTGCTCCCACGTCTAACTTTCCCCTTTAAGGGGCAGGGAGTGGTGCCTGAGTGGAACATATAAACAGGATGGGGCTGGGCAGGATTTAGCGTAGGTGACGCTTTCTGGCACCTGTAACTTGCTGTTTAACTTCCATGTGGCCATAATGGAATGTCCTCCTCCCTGGTGTAGAAGCAGGTGCATTATGGGAAACAGCGTTCTGGACTCACATGTAAGCTACAATGTAGGGTCACACAAAAAAATATGAAAAAAAAAAAAAACCTTCCCATTTCCCCCCACGTCAGAATCATACAACTTGTGGTCTTCTCTGTCTAATGTTTTCAAGATCCATGCATGGTTCAGCTTGTAACCAAGTCTCATTCCTTTTTATGGCTGAATAACATGGCATTGTAGGGTTAGCTACTCACTAATCAATGGACATTTAGGTTATTTCCACTCTGGTGCTAGCATGCTACAAACTTCCCCATACAAGTTTTTGTGTGAACATGTTTGTAGGTCTTTGGGGGTACATATAAATGGAATTGCTGGGTCATATGGTAATTCCATGTTTAACATTTTTGAAGAATGGCCAAAATGTTTTTTTAAAATGGATGCACCATTAAGGATTACAGCTTCTCCGAATCTTTTGCCACCTTTTTGATTATCATTTTTATTTCTTTTTATGTTTGAGAAGCAGAGAGACAGAGAGTGCTCCCATCTGCTGGTTCACTCCCCAAATGTCTACAGTGGCCTAGTCCTTGGCATGGACCAGCCAGGACTAAAGCTGGGAGCCAGGAATCCAATTGAGCCATTATTGCTTATTCCCAAGGTCTGCATTACCAAGAACTGGAATCAGGGGCCAGAGCCAGGACTCCAACTCACAACATGGGCGTCTCAACCAGCTTAAACACTAGGCTAAATGTCCGCCCCCACCCCACCTTTTTTCCTTTTTTTTTTTTTTTATTACAACCATGCTAGTGGAGATGAAATGGTATTTCATTTTGATTTTTGGTTTTCCTTTCTCTGGAGACTAATGATATTCACCATCTTTCCATTTTTTTATCAGCCATTTGTGTATCTTCCTTGTAGAAATGTCTATTCAAATATTTTCATTTTTAAACTGAGTTGTCATTTTATTGATGAGTTCAAGACATTGAACCCTTATCAGATATGATCTGCAAAAAATTTTCCCATTCTGTCAGCTGTCTTTCCACTTTGGTTTATCTCAAATACAAAAGTTTTAAACTTCGACAAAGTTCAGTTTATCTTTTGTTGCTTGTGCTTTAAGGTGTCAGATCTAGAAAATTTTAGGTGCTTAATCAAAAGTCACAAAGATTTGCATCTATGTTTTACAACAAATAAATTTCTAGTTTTAGCTCCTAGATTTAGGTCTTTGATTGAATTTTAGTTCAATTTTATGACTCAAAAAATAGGAGTCCAATATCAGTCATTTAAATGTGGATATCTAGTCATTCCAAATTCACTGAATTGTCTGGTGCCTTTCTTGGAAGCCTGTTCCTTTTGGAACTAAATCTCTAAGACTGCTTAATAACTGATCATATTCAGTCAAGCAAACTACAACTGAATATGCCACTGAATATGGTTAAGATGTGTACATTCGAGAAGCCAAACTGAAATCAGCAGTTTCTTTTATTAGATGTATAACTAAGGTTATTCTGGGTGTCTTGATTGTGACACCCAGATGTGTCATCAGTGCATATATTTGCCAAACTGACCAAACTGTGTACTTTACATATTTGCAATCTGCTATATGCCACTTATACCTCAATAAACCTGTTTTCGTAGGAGAGAGAAACTAAAGGCAAGAGTATAATGAAGTGACTTTCTTCTAATCATTTTTCAGGATCAGCTTCTCTGGTTGGGCCTAATGATGTCACCAGCCAACAACTTAATTTGCAGTTCCACATCTCTGTTAACTGACCTTGTTCTAAAATGAAGCCAACGACCTAAATTCGGGATGTTTAAGGCTAGAATCAACTCATTACTATGGTTTAAGCGTAAATGAAGACTGAAAATGGGTTTTAACTCTTAAAGCATGTTTAAGTCTCCTTCCAACGACGGTTTAGCAACTCGGTTTTCATTGTCTATGTAGAATGTAAGACGTCGCGATTGCACCAAGCTCTGCTTTGGCAGAAACGACCCTTTCGCCTGCACATACCGAGCATCAGGGGTTCTGCCACTGAATGAATAAAAGCCCCCATCCCCTGTCACCACCTTTTCTGGGGACCGTTTGGGAAGTGCTCCTGCCTCTAACTTAACTCCATCTCCAGAAGCAGGTGCTATTTTCCGCCAATTTTTTTTTTTTTTTGAATTATTCACCTCATTTTCTGGGAAAACGAGGTGGTGTAGCTTAGGAATCTCATGTCCAGAAAATGAACTAAAATGTTGCATCAAAGATTACGCGTAGGATTCACAGGCTCAGCCGCAAACAGACGGGAACAGCAGTCCCTAGATTAAAAAAAAAATGATCACTGTGACAAGTCTGCGGGAACACGGAAAATAGAAAACACGGCCACTTCGTCAGTACCACGAAGATGCTATACTAATTACCCGCTGGGTTCTCACCGCCCGAAGGCAGGATGCTTCGCTGGGTCCGTTCACTGGACGGCACCGGGCCCTCGGAAAGCACTGAGCGTGCCAGCGCATGAATGAAACGAAGTGCAAGACGCCATCTGCGAAGGCGGGTGCCCAGGGCGGCGCGCACCCGGGGGACGCTGCGTTCGGGTGACGCCGCCGGCGGTGGTCCCCGCGGGGCGTGGCTCCGGGCGTCCTCGGGGGCCAGCGGCCACACACACCCCTCCCCCGGACGCATCTCACGGGGCCGGGGGTCCCGCGTCGGCCGGCACCCCGGTTTTCCCTCCGAGAAGGGCCGCCCATCTGCCCCCTGCCCCTGACCCTGAGGGGGTCGCTCGTCCCCGCGGGGGCGGCCCCGAGGGCCCGCGCCGCCCGCTTCCGGCCCTCCCCCGCGACGGCGGGGCCGCGGGAGGCCGGGGCGGGGCCCCGCGCGGGGCGGAGGCGGCCGCCGGACGGGCGGGCGGGCCAGAGCGCGGAGCCGGGCGGCGCGGCGGCGGCGGCGGGCGCGGGCCGGGGCCATGGTGGGCCGCTGCGCCGCGCTGGCGGCCTTCCTGTTCGAGTACGACACGCCGCGCATCGTGCTCATTCGCAGCCGTAAAGTGGGGCTCATGAACCGCGGCGTGCAGCTGCTCATTCTGGCCTACGTCATCGGGTGAGCGTGGCCGCGGGCCCGCGCGGGGGTCCTGGGGAGAGCCTCGGCGTGACCCGACGGCTCCGGGGCGCGCGCCTGCTCACCTCGGTCTGGGGCGCCGAGAGGAGGCCGAGACTGATACCGCCTTCTTCGGGTCCGCTTCCTGCACCTGCGCACCCTGACCTGGGTCTCCAAGTGAGCCCCGTGGGCGCCCTGCAGGTGGAGCCCAGTAGGTGGCGACCCGAGACCGATATCCGCCCCCCACTTTGGGTCCGGGCCTTGCACCTGCTCACCCTGGCCAGGTCACTGGGTGAGCCCCTGACGCCTTCCAGGTGGAGTCCTAGGAGTGGCGACCTAGGGGTGGCCTGTGACACCCGACCCCCAGGCTGTAGCCTCCTGGACGGGCTGTGTCCGGGGACAGGAAGCTGCTTTAATGCTGTGTTTTGAGGGTAACATCTGGCGGGACCTCCATCCTCACCTTTCCAGCTACACCTTGTGACTGGCTGCAGGAGCACCGAGGCTGGGGGAGGGGGCTTCGCCCTGAGTGTCTCAGCCTTGGCTCCTCACTTCCCCTTCGTTTGACCCCATGGCTTGGGATTTCCACTTGATTCCTCCCGGGTCTGTGGCTTCTGATCATTTGCTTTGAGCGCCATGTGATAACAGAGAGGTCAGACTTCCCGAAAGCATTTCAAGTTCACTTCCTTTGTTTAGTGGGACTGCGGATGGGGTGTGCGGAATTTGCTGGACCACCTGCCTTCATCTGGCCGCCCCCCCTCCCCCACCCCGCCTGCCCTCTGGTGCTTATATATGCCCTGCCGCACCCAGGCCTCACTAAACGTTTCATTTTCATTGAATGCACCCGTTAACAGTTACTACAACCCTAGAGAGAAGGGGAAGTTACTCTGCCAGCTGGGCTCTCTTTCAAGGTTCACCTGCGGGGAGGGGGCACACGCTCTACAGCTCTGGGCTGATAGGTGTGTCTGGGTCCTGTTACCTTTTCTTACAAGGCCTCGGGCAGTGTTCCTGGAACCGGTTAGGAATCGTCAGAAAATGCTAAGTGCAGGCCGGCCTTCCAAAGCGGCTGATTCAGTTGCCACGAGTGTGGACCTGTTCCCCAGGTGGTTCTGATGTTCAGCAACATCGAATGCCTTTTCCCAAACTCACCTGAAGCTGAGAGACTCCCCCTGCTTACAAGCAGCAGGTCCCCCCCCTTGGGGTGGGGTGTAGAGTCTACTCACACCGCCCCGGGGAATTCACTAATCTGCAGCTTCGCTTCAGCACCTGTCCGCCCAGCGGCTTTCCAGGCGTGGCTGCAACCCCAGAACCACCTGGCCCACACCGGGCTTGACCTCAGAGAGCAGATCGTTCCTACACAGCGTCCCTTCTGAGACCCGCTCAGCTAAACCAGCGGCACTCGGGTCAGGACCGCTGCTGTGGCTTGTTGCTGTTGTCCTTGCTGGGGAGAATCAGTCCACACTTACCTGGGGGCACCTGCAAAGTGCTGGACTGCGGGAACGAACCTTGGGGTAGCGGCCGTCACATGTGACCGTTGAACACTTGAAATGTTCCGTTTCAAACTGAGAGGCGGACATGCCACATTCACATGCATTTCAAACAGTCCAGGCTGGCGCCGCGGCTCACTAGGCTAATCCTCCGCCTAGCGGCGCCGGCATACCAGGTTCTAGTCCCAGTCGGGGCGCCAGATTCTGTCCCGGTTGCTCCTCTTCCAGTCCAGCTCTCTGCTCTGGCCTGGGAGTGCAGTGGAGGGTGGCCCAAGTGCTTAGGCCCTGCACCCGCATGGGAGACCAGGAGAAGCACTTGGCTCTTGGCTTTGGAGAGCGAGGTGCGCCGGCCGCAGCGCGGCGGCCATTGGAGGGTGAACCAACGGTAAAGGAAGACCTTTCTCTCTCTCTCTCTCTCTCTCTCTCTCACTCTCTCACTGTCCACTCTGCCTGTCAAAAAAAAAAAAAAAAAAAAAGTCCAGGGGCCGGCGCTGTGGGTAGTGAGCTAAGCCTCTGCCTGCCTGCAGTGCTGGCATCCCCTACAGGCACCAGTTCAAGTCTCAGCTGCTCCTTTTCCCATCCAGCTCTCTGCTAAGGCCTGGAAAAGCAGTAGAAGGTGGCCCAAGTGCTTGGGTTCTTGCACCCACGTGGGAGACCAGAAGAAGCTCCTGGCTTCAGATGGGCCCAGTTCCAGCCATTGCTGTCATTTGGGGAGTGAACCAGCAGATGGAAGACCTTTCTTTCTGTCTCCCTCTGTCACTCTACCTCTCAAATAAACAAATAAAAAACTTTTGAGCCGGCGCCGTGGCTCAATAGGCTAATCCTCCACCTTGCGGCACCGGCACACCGGGTTCTAGTCCCGGTTGGGGCGCCGGATTCTGTCCCGGTTGCTCCTCTTCCAGGCCAGCTCTCTGCTATGGCCAGGGAGTGCAGTGGAGGATGGCCCAGGTGCTTGGGCCCTGCACCCGCATGGGAGACCAGGAAAAGCACCTGGATCCTGGCTCCTGCCATCGGATCAGCGCGGTGCGCCGGCTGCAGCGGCGGCCATTGGAGGGTGAACCAACGGCAAAGGAAGACCTTTCTCTCTCTGTCTCTCTCTCACTGTCCACTCTGCCTGTCAAAAAAAAAAAAAAAACTTTTTAAAAAAGTCCAAAAAAATCACTTTAATGCTTTTTAAAATTGATAACATGCTAGAATATTTTGGATATGTTGAGTTACATAAAATGTATCATTCTTGGGGCCGGCACCATGGCTCACTTGGTTAATCCACAGTGGCCATTTGGGAAGTGAACCAATAGAAGGAAAACCTTTCTGTCTCTCTCTGTCTATAACTCTACCTGTCAAATAAATAAATAATAAATAAATAAATAAATAAATAATTTCTACTGGGGTAGGCATTTGGTACAGCGTTAAGGTGTAGCCTTGGGTACCTGTACCCCTCAGGAGTACCTGAGTTCCACTGCCTGCTCCACTCGTATTTCTGGTCTCCTGTTAGTGGACACCTGGGAGGCAGCAGGTGATGGCTGCTACCCACATGGGAGAGCTGGATTGCCGTCTGAGCTCCTAGTTTGGCTGACCCAGCCCCAGCTGTTGCAGGCATTTGGGGAGTGAACTTGTGGGTGGAGTTTTCTCTGTCTACCAGTCTCTCTCTCTCTAAAAAAAAAAAGAGAGAGAGAGAGAGAAAGAAAGAAATAAAGAGAAAAAGAAAGAGAAAGAAAGAGAGAGAGAGAAAAGCCTGAACTCTAAATTCCTAGCTGTTTGCTTTTATCAGTCACATGATAGTGGATCACATGGTAATGACGGTGTCTCTGGTTTGGCAACTCGCCGTCCTTGCTGGTAAATAGTGGCTTCCTGCCCTGAGCTGTGTGGGTCAGACTGGAATTGGATGGACGCTTTTACTGCAGCTGAGTTCCCATAAGAGGACCTGTCTTCTCTAGGGTGGGCCTTGAGTTTGGACACTGCTCAGATCAGATAGACGCATCAATAAGTAACCAACACCAGGGACTCTCTCACGTCTAGGCCCCAGGACTTACCGGGAAGGGAAGGAGAACCCACACTTTCTGGATTATGGCTTCAGGTGGATATTTAACAGCGCTGATGGGGAGGAGTTGGGATTCATGGTGTCAGTTTCCTCTTGCGGTAGTGATTCTCGAACATTGTTCTAAGCATCTGACATCCTCCTATGCATGGATTTCAATTTTTTGGCACCAAAAAGATGAACATACTTTTAATTTCCCATTAACTTTTTGTACACTGACCCATTTACCCTTGCAGTGATCCTTATTTATTTCAGGTACATAGGCTTGGGCCGGCGCTGCGGCGCAGCGGGTTAACACCCTGGCCTGGGGTGCCGGCATCCCACGTGGGCGCCGGTTCTAGTCCTGGCTGCTCCTCTTCTGATCCGGCTCTCTGTAGTGGAGGATGGCCCAAGTCCTTGGGCCCCTGCCCCCATGTGGGAGACCCGGAGGAAGCTCCTGGCTCCTGGCTTCAGATCAGCTCAGCTCCAGCCATTGCGGCCATCTGGGGAGTGAACTAGCGGATGGAAGACCTCTCTCTCTGGCTCTACCTCTCTAATTCTTTGAAATAATATTAATAATAAAAAAAAGGTACACAGGCTCCCATCTGCTGGTTCATGTCCCACATGCTCACAGCAGTTGAGCTGATGCCAGAACTCCATCCAGGTCTCCCATTATGAGTGGCAGGAACTCAATAACTTTTTTTTATTTTTAACTATTTATTTTATTTATAGACAGAGACAGAAAGAAAGACCTTCCTTCCATTGGTTCACCTCCCAGATGGCCGCTACAGCCGGCACTGCACCGATCCGAAGCTAGGAGCAAGGTGCTTCTTACTGGTCTCCCAAGCAGGTGCAGGGCCCAAGCACTTGGGCCATCCTCCACTGCTTTCCCAGGCCACAGCAGAGAGCTGGACTGGAAGAGGAGCAACCGGGACTACCCCAACCAGGACTAGAACCCGGGGTGCTGGCGCCGCAGGCGGAGGATTAACCATGTGAGCCATGGCGCCAGCCCAAACTCAATAACTTGAGCCATCCTCTCCTGCCTCCCAGGGAACTGGAGTCAGTAGCTGAAGCCGAAAATTGAACTCAAGTACTCGGATGTGGGTCTTAACCACGAGGCCAAACACCCACCCCCTATGTATGTCTGTGGTCTCCGTGTTACAGATGAGGACAACACAGGTGCACACAGGTTAAACCACTTGGCCCACATGATGACCCACAAGTGGTGCAGCTAGGTCCTGAATCTGGACCTGCTGGCTCCAGGAGGTGTTCTGGTAGCCTCACCACTGTGTGCTAACACACTTAGATTTAGACCAGTGGTAATGTCCCCACAGAGAAGCATATCTGTGACCTGAATTCTTGGAGAAAAGAAACTACTAGGAAATTGTCCTTAAAAGGTAGGAATCCCTTTTCTGGAGGCAGTTGAGCCTAGTGTGCAAGGAAGCTGAATTCCTGACAGTCCCCTCACTAGCTTGTGTGACGGGGGCAAACGACTTCTCTCCGGACTCTTGTTTCCTCTGTAAGATAAAGATAATTATAATCCCTCACAGCAGTCAGGATGAAATGCATTAGTACATATCAAGACGCCAGATCAGTGCCTGGCACCTACGATATGCAAGTGGTCACTGTTCCCGTAGTGTTTGCCGTTGGTCATACAATACACTGGAAGCCTCAGCTCTCTAGCAATAAAGACAGCGTTTCCTGAACATTTTCTTTGCACTGATAGGGATTCTAAGTGCTTCCTATTATCTCATTTCCCTCCCACAAACTGCCCTACAGTTTAGGGGCTACCACCCCCATTTTGCACTCGTAGAACCGGAGCCCCAGAAGTTAAGCATCTGTGCAAAGCCACATAGTTAATAAACATTGAACTTGCAACCTTTGCTCCCAGAAGCCCCCTGGCGTCAGTTCCAAGTCCCTGCATCGCAAGGGCAATGGAAGACACCTGTTTTGTTTTCTAGGTGGGTGTTTTTGTGGGAAAAGGGCTACCAGGAAACAGACTCTGTGGTCAGCTCAGTTACTACCAAGGCCAAGGGCGTCGCCGTGACCAACACTTCTGAACTGGGATTCCGGATCTGGGACGTGGCGGATTATGTGATTCCAGCTCAGGTACGTGTCCCACGGAGACTCCTGTCTCACGGTAAAGCTCTGGTTCTCTTTCCCCTCACCGACTGTGCACACCTGACTAATGATTGGCATGCCTGCGTTCGGGCCTCTCCAGTGACCGTGGTAGTCCAAGAAAGCAGTGTCACCAGATCGCATTTTGGCGCCAGGTCTAACTGGCGCTGGCTCAAACCCAGGAAGCTTTCACTGTGGACATCCCCTGAAAAGTGAGCAAGCAAATGTCTTAGGTCCTGGGACGAGATCAGGTGGAAATACCACCTTTCTCTATTTTCTGTTTGCTTTATTATCTCACACCCACAAGGTAAATCTTGATAGACAGCCAAAAATGTCAACAGCAATTAGAGCCTAGTGGTTAAGGTGCCTCCATTCAACCCCTGGCTCTGGCTCCTAACTCCAGCTTCCTGCTAATGTACATCGTGGAATGCAGTGGTCATAGCTTAAGGAACGGGGGTCCTGCCACCACATGGGAGACCCGGATTAAGTTCCTGGCTTCTGACTTCAGCCTTGGCCCTTGCAAGTATTTGAACCAGCGAATACCAGCTCTGCCTGCCTATGTCTCTCTGCCTCCCAAATGGAGAAGGAAACAGACATACAGCATCGGATTCCATCAGGAACAAAGGTCAGGGGAGAAGTTGTGGCACCCCAGTCTCCAGTCTGAATCCACAAAGCTTCCAGATCAACATGGACGCTGTAGTCATGGTAACAGCCATGCCCCTCCAGATGGCCGACGTGCTCGGGTGCCTACGGTGGCCAAATACAGATAAGCTGCCCATTCTTGGCTCAGGGCTCTGCAGGGACAGCAGGAACTTCTTCAGTGTGTCCTTCCTCCTCACCTTCCCAGAGAAGGGTCATGCCGGCTCCGAGAACAGACTGCACCAGTGACCCGTCAAGGTCATCTGGAATGACCACGTGCAGTGTGCGGCCCCAGCAGGAGACCACTGCTTCCTGAATGCAAGGCCTCACCATGGTGCGCTCTAGAAATGTCACACTCCGTCGATCGACAGGAATCCAGGAAGGGGACAAGTGCTGCTTCTGCCCCTCTGTGCAAAAGGACACCCGGCAGCTCTGCTTACACAGGAGCGCAAAATGCTCGAAGCTTCTGGCTTCTATGGTTTTGTTTTTTAAGATTTTATTTATTTGTTTATTTGGGAGACAGAGTTACAGAGAGGTCTTCCATCCACTGGTTCACTCCCCAGATGGCCGCAACAGCCAGAGCTGGGCCAATCCAGAGCCAGGAGCTTCTGGGTCTCCCGTGCAGGTGCAGGGGCCCAAGGACTTGGATCATCATCTGCTGCTTTCCAGGCCATAGCACAGAGCTGGATCGGAAGTGGAGCAGCTGGGACTAGAACTGGCGCCCATATGGGATGCCAGACTGCAGGCAGCAGCTTTACCCACTACACCACAGTGCCAGCCCCGGATTTTTTTAAATGATGTAAAATTCATGTAATAGAAAATGAAGCATTTTTAAAATGAAACACCCTGTGGCATTCAGAGCACCCATTGCCTCGATTTGCCCCCGGGATGTTTTCTGCGGCCCGTTGGGACCCTGCCCATCGGCAGTCACTCCCTGCTCTCACCCCTGCTCTGTCTCTGCATTTGCCGGTTGTGGACATTTCGTCTGAATGGAGCCGTTCGCAGTGTGGCCTTTGGTGTCTGCCTCTCCTTAGCACGATGGCTTCAAGGTTCATCTCCTGTAGCGCGAGGCAGGGCTTGCTTCCTGTTCCTGGCTGGATCGCATCCCGGTGCAGGGAGGCCCCGTTCTGTTTTCCCAGACATCTCGGCTCTCCGCCTTCTGTCAGTTGTGAAAAGTGCTGCTGCGAACATTTGTGTACAGGCATTTGGTTGAGTCCTTGTTTTTGGTTAGGTTGTAAATTCTTGAGAGAACAGGAGTCTGTATGATTAGTTTTTTTTAAAGATTTATTTTCTTTATTTGAAAGATAGAGTTACAGAGAGAGGTAGAGAGAGAGGTCGTCCATCCGCTGGTTCACTCCCCAGATGGCCGCAATGGCCAGAGCTGTGCCGATCTGAAGCCAGGAGCCAGGAGCTTCTTCTGGGTCTCCCACGCGGGTGCAAGGGCCCAAGCACTTGGGCCATCTTCTACTGCTTTCTCGGGCCATAGCAGAGAGCTGGGTCGGAAGTGGAGCAGCCGGGACTAGAACTGGCACCCATATGGGATGCCAGCACTGCAGGCCAGGGCTTTAACCCACTATGCGCCACAGCACTAGCCTGATTAGTTTTAAAATTGTCTTATTAGGGGCTGATGTTGTGGCACGGTGGGTTAAGCCACGCTTGCGATGCCAGCGTCCCTTATTGGACTGCTGGTTCAATTCCTGGCTGCTCTGCTTCCAGTCCAGCTCCCTGCTAATGCACCTGGGAAAGCAGCAGAGATGGCCCAAGTGCTTGGTTCCCTGTCACCCATGAAGGAGATCTGGCTTTGGCCTGGACCATCCCCAGCCATTGCAGCCATCTGGGGTGTGACCCAGTAGATGGAAGGTCTCTCTTTCTTGAGATCTTTCAAATAAATAAACTATTAAAAAAATCATCAAGTGAATGACTTTCTTTCTGTCCCTGCTCATGCCTCTGGGGGCGGGGGGAACACAATCCTGCTGTCTCCTCTTTGCCCACCCTGCAGGAGGAAAACTCCCTCTTCATCATGACCAACATGATCATCACCGTGAACCAGACCCAGGGCACCTGTCCTGAGGTAGGCCTCTCACCCCGTCTCCACACCTGGCTGGCGGAGGGTAGAGCTGTGGAGCTCCTTGTTGTCACCCCTTCTTCTTTTTCCAGATCCCAGACAAGGCCACCGTGTGTCACTCAGATGCCACCTGCGCTTCTGGCTCCACGGACACCCACAGCACTGGTAGGAGCGAGTGGCTGTGGCCCCAGAGCAGGTGCTTAGCCCGGGAAGGGCAGCCCCTGAGGAGACCATCTGTGCCTTGGAGTGTCTGATAGAGAAACCTCACAGATAAAGAAACCCCCCAACTCCCTAGTGCTTTCCCATGGCCCTGAGCGACCTTGTGTCAAGATGGGGGCCGTGGGACACTTCCCACTTTCTCCTGTCATGAGAGTCCAGGCCATCCAGGGTCTCACCCCTTTCTGTGGCCTGGTGTCACCTTGGCTGTGAGTTGGTAGAGCAGAGGTGTAGGCAGCCCTAGGTGACTGTGTTCCTCCAATTCTAATTTCTGGACACTTAAGTCCCAGCACTGGAATTGCCCAAGGCTGGCTCCAGGGGGCGCTGTGGTGGTGGGGTGCTACTCTCCACTGGTAAGGCGGACACAGGAGGGCCTCCATGGACCTGGCTCCCCCCTGGCCCCGCAGGAGTCACGACTGGAAGGTGCGTGCCATTCAATGCATCGGTGAAGACGTGCGAGGTGGCAGCCTGGTGCCCGGTGGAGGATGACAGACAGGTACCAAGGTGAGAAGAAGGAGCCATAGACACTGGTTCTTGGCCTTGGGAGGAGAGTCCGGCTGTGCGTTGTGGCTTTCTGTGTGTTCTTGGCATCTGTGTGGAGTCAGACCACCCTAGGACACTGCTTCTCAGCCACAAAGCAGCGATCATTGGAGAAGAGGCCAGCCCCAGTGTTGTCACGATGACGAGGGGGCAGGGGGCTCTGCCAGTTGACAGGAAGTTCTCAGTGCCTTCGGCACATGCGCACACTTGCACACTGCACGCACGCTCGGTGGGGGCCGGTCATTGTTCAGCTGGCCAGGAAGACCCCACTGGCTCAAGCTGGGTCTCACCTCTTCACGCTGCCTCCTCCCCACGCCGGCTTTCCTTGTCGGGCCTCCGGGCTCCCATCCCCTACGGCGAGTCTGCTTTCCCAATCGTGTGTAGATTCTAGCTCTGTGCATCAGCATGGCGTTGGCCACATCCCTCAAACTGGTGCCGTGGCCAGGGCAGGGATTCTGTCCTCCACCTTGGGCCTGGGTCCCTGCCCACCTCTGGCGCTAGGGTTGAAGTCAGCCCCACCCACACGACACAGAGTGGCAGGACGGGAGATGTGTGGCTTCCGAAGGAAGTGGGGGTTCTGTTACCAGGAAGAGGGAGCAGACATAGGTGAGTGTGTGTCACTGTGTGTTTGTAGAGCCCAGGGCCAGGGCGTGCTGGGCTGGTACCCCGCTTTTCAGACACATCACCGCTCACGTATCAGCCACACGCTGGTGGACGTGGGGTGGCCTCTGCTTTAAGAGCAACTCCTTGGCGGGCGCTGTGCTGTGAGCAGAGGGCGTTGAGGCGGTGCCCGGAGACTTGGTTGCAGCCTGCGGTCTTTCTTGCTTGCACCTGGGCACCTCGTGACAGAAGGCGAGGTTGATCCTGAGACTGGGGTGGGAGGGGGCGCTCAGGCTCAGGAAGGAAGTTCTAAAAGAGGAATCCAGCGTCTTTGAGCCCGTGCACTAGGGCTGCGGCCAGCGTGGCGGGTGCCGCCAGCGTGAAGCACTCTCATTGTGAAAACAAGAGCGTCCCGTGTTTCACCGAGCTTTCTGTGGGCTACATGTTCAAGGGCCGCTCGGGGTAGTACTTGGTATACAGTGGTTCCTGTCTAAGTGAATTTCACAGTAAGCTGTGGCTACCAGGAGACTCCCGGTCAAGTGCGGCGGCAGCCGGGTCTCACGTGTTTTCACTGGACAGCGCCATCACAGGTCGAATCCACTGTCAGAGGTTTCTGAGCGCTGAGTCACACGGCGAGAGGCTCCTCTTTCCATTCCGGCTCAGCCCTCTTCATCGGAGGAGGAAATCGTGGTTTGGTGCACCTTTTTTTATTATTTACTTATTTTTTGACAGGCAGAGTTCAACAGTGAGAGAGAGAGAGAGAGACAGAGAGAAAGGTCTTCCTTCTGTTGGTTCACCCCCCAATGGCCACTACGGCCGGTGCGCTGCGGCACCAATCCGAAGCCAGGAGCCAGGTGCTTCTCCTGGTCTCCCATGCGGGTGCAGGGCCCAAGCACTTGGGCCATCCTCCACTGCCTTCCCGGGCCACAGCAGAGAGCTGGACTGGAAGAGGAACAACTGGGACAGAATCTGGCGCCCCGACCGGGACGAGAACCCGGGGTGCCCGTGCCGCAGGTGGAGGATTAGCCTAGTGAGCCGCGGCGCCGGCCGGTTTGGTGCACCTTTAATAGCTTTCCATCACTTGCTGATCTCTGTTCTCAAAAAGAATGAGCCCCAGACGGAGTCCCTAGGACATAAAATAGCACTGACTACAACTTTCGGTCACAATTCATGTATTTAAACGATGGCCTCTGACTTGTGACGAACGGTATTTTTTATTTTTAATTTTTTAAAAAAATTTATTTATTTGAAAGTCAGAGTTACACAGAGAGGAGAGGCAGAGAGAGAGGTCTTCCATCCGATGGTTCACTCCCCAGTTGGCTGCAATGGCCGGAGCTGTGTCAGGAGCCAGGAGCTTCTTCCAGGTCCCCCACGTGGGTGCAGGGACCCAAGGACCTGGGCCATCTTCTACTGCTTTCCCAGGCCATAGCAGAGAGCTGGATCAGAAGTGGAGCAGCCGGGTCTCCAACCCGCACCCATATGGGATACCGGCGCATCAGGCCAGGGCGTTAACCCACTGCGCCACAGCGCCAGCCCCACAAACAGTATTTTTTAATGTTTGTGACGGAAAGTCTCACGTCCGGATGAGTGTCAGTTAAACAGTGAGGTGACCTTAGAGGCGGAGGGGACAGGATGCCGTTCAGCGGATGACACATAAGGAACTCAGGCTGTTCAGAAGGTGGACGGTCACTCGGCCTCAGTGACCGGCACTGAGGCACTGATGGAGCCTGCAGCGTGAGTGAAGCTGGAAAACATTATACAGCCAGGCACAGAGGCCGCCTCTTGGATCCATGCTGTGATGCGCCTGTCACAGGCTGATCCCCAGAGACGGGCACGAGGTGAGCCAGTTCCTCTGAGTGACGGAAATGTTTTAGAACGCCCAGCATTGTGAACGAACGACATGCCACCGAATTGGTTCACCTCAAAATGATGACTGTTATGTGACTTTCGCCTCGGGCTTTTTTTTTTTTTTTTTTAAAGGCAGGCTGATCTTTAAAGGGTAGCAGATGAGATACACAGATGGGCCGGGTTATGGTGCAGGAAGTGACAAAAATGACAGACGGTGGAAAACCTCTGTGTAACCAGCCCTGTGGGGCGAGGTGGGGGGAGAAGGGGGCTCTGACAAGGAGGGGGAAGGCTCCCCTCACCGTGCAGCCTTGCTCCTGCCCCAGTGGAGGGAAGAATCTCGATGTTCTTTAAAACATCAGCGCCATGAGCTGTGTCCGAAGGGCCAGCCCCACAGTGCAGATTCTCCCACGGAACTGCACCAGAGAAGCAGGATTCCCTTGGGAGGCAGACTTGCATGGCCAGCGGGAGCCGACGTGGCAGGTGCACAGGCCGGGGGTGCCTGTCGTGTGCTGGGCCCACGGGGTCAGGGCCGAGTGTGCAGGTGAGTTGACCTTTGCTGTGCCTTGTGGAACCGGGTCTTGTCAAGAACTCATTCCCCTGAGAACACCTGGGGTGTCAGGCACTTTCCCCCGGCTGCTGCCACTCAGGGACTTCCAGTCAGGCCTGGAGGCCCCGCCCCGTGGCCCATTCCCCAGGTTCCTTTGGGGCGAGGCCCTGCCCTTCCCTGGAAGAACCCAGAAGGCTAGACCTAGCGTTTATGCGGAGAGAGGAGGAAATGCCAGTGAAGTTCCACTGTCTTCTGACAAAATGACATTGTAAGGTCATTTTGTAAGGTTTATGTGTAGTGTGTTCTTTAGAAATATTACGCAGGCGTATGAGTGCGTATCTACTTGGATCTTCACTAACAATATGTTTTTTCAGGCCTGCTTTTTTAAAGGCTGCGGAAAACTTCACCCTCTTGGTTAAGAACAACATCTGGTATCCCAAATTTAATTTCAGCAAGTAAGTGGTGGCCAGGTGTGGGTTCGCCTGTGCCTCGGAGAAACTCCAGGCTCATCCCCGAGGTCCTCTGTGTGCTCCCCACCTTAGGAGGAACATCCTCCCCAACATCACCACCACCTACCTCAAGTCCTGCACCTACGACGCTCGGACAGACCCCTTCTGCCCCATATTCCGTCTGGGCAAAATAGTGGAGGACGCGGGACACAGCTTCCAGGACATGGCCATTGAGGTAAGCACAGCCTTTGGGCTTGGAGACACAGCCATGGCTGCGTCCAGGGCCGGACCGGGCTCTGAGACCAGGCCCTGTGTCTGCTGCTCACCCCCCAGGGAGGCATCATGGGCATCCAGATCAAGTGGGACTGCAACCTGGACAGAGCCGCCGCCCTCTGCTTGCCCAGGTACTCCTTCCGCCGCCTGGATACCCGAGACGCCGACCACAACGTGTCTCCTGGCTACAATTTCAGGTGGGCGTGTGCTTGGGTTCATTTGGAGGGAGACAATGGAGGCTGGAGTATTCCACCACCGTCCATGCCCCACAAAGTCCAGCACTGGGACAGCACCCCAGGACAGCGGCTGGCTTTCCCTTCTCCGAGGTGGGAGGGAGGGCCGTGAGCAGGGTTGTGCCCCCGTGGCACCCTGACCCCTGACGGCCCTCCTTGCTCTGTCCTGTTGAGTTGCAGGGCAGCCCCCAGAGCCCACTGTTGAAGGAGTGGATGGTCTGCAGCCCACAGCCGCCTGGGCCGTGGCCTAGGAGAGGGTTTCTTGCAGGCGGAGCCTGGCCCAGATGCAGGACATTGGCTCAGCAAAGGCCTTGCTGTGAGAAACTGTGAAACGGGTTTCTGGGTGACAAATGACCACACAGTGGGTGGCCAGAACATCAGGAATGTGTTCTTTCGATTCCGGAGGCCACGAGTCCGATATCCGGGTGGCAGCAGGGCCAAGGATCCCCGTGAAGCTCCGAGGGGGGACCCTTCCTTGCTGCTGCATCTGGCAGCCGCTGCCTACAGAAGCATCGACCCAGTTTCTCCTGTCATGCCATGGCCTTTGAATACCAGTCATACTGCACTGAGGGCCCACCCTAGGCTAGGGTGGCCCCGTGTAAAATAACCACATCTGCAAGGTCAGGTCGCAGGTTCCAGGGGGATGTGAATGGGGCGGGGACACTGCTGAAGCCAGCATAGTGGGGTAATGTGAGCAGAGGCCCGCCTCAGGGTCCTGTCAGAGCAGAATCTGCAGCCAGGGACGCTTTCACAGGCTGCATCCACTCCTGAAGACAGGCCTGCAAGGGACACGCCCGTGAGCCAGCCGCGCTTTGTGTTGCCACGGTCTCCCTCTAGTGGTGACAAATGGAATCCAGCTCAGGCTTGGAAGAAATTTCTCCTCTGTCCTTTGGAACCGTTTGATTTTTTCTCCCGAGTAGGAGGTTTGTGTGGCTCCATCGAAACTGTCGCACAGTTCTCGTGGGAACCACTGTGTAAGCCTGGAGCTGAGAGAAGCTGACAGTCCCCTCGGGAGGACACCCAGCCCCCGACCACTGGTTCATGCCCAAGTTGGCCACACGACCAGGCTGAAGCCAAGAGCCAGGAGTTTCATCTGGGTCTCTCACACAGGTGCAGGGGCCCAAGTAGTTGGGCCATCTTCCACTGCTTTCCCAAGGAGCTGGATCGGAAGTGGAGCAGCCGGGACTCAAACCAGCTCTCGTATGGGATGCCAGCATCACAGGCAGTGGCCTAATCCTCTGTGCCACGTGCCGGCTCTGTTTTCTTAATGGCTATACTGAGATACAATTCACCTGAGAAAGTTTGGGTCACGAACTGTTACTGTGCTCACAGGAAAAGGCAACCACCACTAGCTGGGTTAGGAAGAACTTCACTGAGCTGCCAGCCTCCTATGGCCCCAGCCCCTGGCAGCCACCAGCTTCCTGTCTCCATGGGTCTACCTGTTCTGAGCACTCGTATCAGTGGGATCCTACACTGTGTGTCCTTGTGTGCCTGGCTGTCCCTGTGCCAGGGCCTCACCGCTTTATGGCCAGGGAGTGATAGTCCACAGTGTGGACAAACCCATTCATCCATCAATGGGGCCATGGCCTGGGCTGGTGCAGTCCCCCTGCAATGCAGTCTGGGCGCCGGCCACTGCCGGGCCTCGTTCTCGGGTCCTGGTTGTCTCAAGAGGCAGGTGGCACAGCCATATCAGGGAGGACATTAGAGCGGAAGTTCCGGCTTGCACCAAGGGCCTGGCAGTGATGGAGTGGGACGTCTCCCTGCGCCCCTCCGGCTCTGGACAGAGGTCCCGGTGGCCTCAGGCTGTGCGGCCCGTCAGCCAGGAGAGAGGCCCTGGTGTTCCCTGTGTCTGAGCGGGAGGCAGAGCGAGTTGTCAGCCAGCGCCAGCCCTGCTCCTGGCCCTCTCCCTCGAGCCTGCCTGCTCTCCCTCAGGTTCGCCAAGTACTACAGCGACAGCGGCCGCGAGCGCCGCACGCTCATCAAGGCCTACGGCATCCGCTTCGACATCATTGTGTTTGGCAAGGTAGCCTCGCAGGGAGGGGGCCTCCACCTGCCCTCAACCTGCTCCCCTCACCCCTGTCCAGACGCTGTCTTTCCTCCTGTCATTTGCAGGCTGGGAAATTTGACATCATCCCTACCATGATCAACATTGGCTCCGGCTTGGCACTTTTCGGGGTGGTGAGTGGCACGGGCTGGGGCCTTCCTCAGCAGGGACCGGCACGGGGAGGCGACACCCTCGGCTGCTGACCTGGCCCTCGCCCCCTGACCTGGCCCTCGTCCCCTGACCTGGTCCTCGCCCCGGACTTGTCTCCACACTGGATCCTCCGGGCTTCTTTGCTTGGCTTCCCTTCCCCTCTCTCCTCCCAAGATTCCTTTCTAGAGCAAGGCTTCGGGCTTCGCGGGAAGGGGCACGCACAGAAGGACGTGGGCTGGCAGCATCCGGGCTCTTCCCTTCCCTGTGCTAAATGCAGGCGACCGTGCTGTGTGACATCATAGTCCTCTACTGCATGAAGAAAAGATACTACTACCGGGAGAAGAAATACAAGTTCGTGGAAGATTACGAGCAGGTAGGCGCCTCCTGCACTCCCGGCAGGCAGGAGCCCGGGCACCTTCCGCACTTCCCGTCCCACGAGGGAGAGGCCTTGGTTCGAAGGCTGGCACCGCTGCAACCCCGTGGACGCCTGTATTCACCATGGGCAGCTGTAGCCGCATTCACGACACCCCCTTCCGCAGGCAGACGCCTACACTCGAGCCGTTCTGATTCTCACATCACAAGTTGGTTTTGTTGATGGCTAGTGTGACAAAACCCCTGTGCGCATCCTGCACCTGCTACACGCGGTCCATGCCGCGGGAAGGGTTGGGTCCCACACTGCACTGGCCGCGACTCGAGGACTCTTGGTGGTGTCGAGGTGTCCAGACATCCTCAGGCAGCGTGCCCAGCTGGGCCTTGGGCCTGCCCAGCCACGGCACACGCTCAGTGTACACACTCTCGGCTTCAAATCCTTCTTTGCAGGGTCTTAATGGCCAGACAGACCAGTGACGCCCACCCCACACCTCGACTCCCCGCAACTCCCACTGATGCACAGCGGGAAGGAAAAGAAACGGCTGCTGTATCGCTCCGAAGAAAGCTCCGGATCCTGACTCAGCCTCCTCAGTGCCCAGGTGGCCCAGCAGCCGCTGTTTTGTGTGAAGGGTTTGGCTGCTCGCTAGCGCGGTGGGTTCCTGTTGTGACTGGATGGGACCCCTCTGCCACGCCTGTGCATGGGGCCAGGATCAGGGCTGGCCCTCCCCCCATAGATGGGCCTATCTCCAGCCCCCTTCAGGACAGGCCCAGTCCTCCAGGGCGCCGGGGGCAGCTGTTGCAGCTGTGGAGGAGGCCGGGAAGGGTCCTGGAATGTGGCTGCCAGACCTGAGGCTGCCTGAGCCGCTCCTCCTCCCCCGCCCGGGACTTGGCGCTGGCCCTCGGCGGTGGAGTTGGCGTCTCTCCTTCCAGAAGCACTCTGTTGAGCTGCTTGAGGACCAACATTAAAACAGACGATGTTCTTACTCCAAGTCCATGTTGTCTCATAGCATGTGCTAGATTCTGTCCCGGCTGCTCCTCTTCCAGTCCAGCTCTCTGCTGTGGCCTGGGAGTGCAGTGGAGGATGGCCCAGGTCCTTGGGCCCTGCACCTGCATGGGAGACCAGGAGGAAGCACCTGGCTCCTGGCTTCGGATCCGCGCAGCGCGCCGGCCGTAGTGGCCACTTGGGGGGTGAACCAACGGAAAAAGGAAGACCTTTCTCTCTCTCTCTCTCTCACTGTCTGTCAAAAAAAAAAAAAAAACAAATAAATAAAATGCCAGTTGGGACACCCGCGATCCACACTGGAGTGCCCGGGGTCAAGTTTTGACATTGCTGCTGACTCCGGCTTCCTGCTAACGCAGACCCTGCGGGTCAGCGGTGATGGGACAGCATTCTCAGCTCCCAGCTTTGGCCTGGCCCAGGCCCAGCCACTGCAGGCATCTGGAGGGTGAGCCAGCCAATGGGAGCACGCTCTCTGCCAATCAATCAGTAGTTTCCCTGTGCCTCATCCCCCCTTCACCGCGATGCCCATCGGATTGCAACCCTGCCCTCCTGAACATACTTCTTGGGAGCCTGTTGTATTTTATGTTGACCACTTCAACCAGTGAACGCATCTGCCACCCAGCTCACTGTGCTCCCAGAAGACTCCTGAAACGGTCTGTTTCTGAAACATACACACTGTCTTCTAGGTAATCTTCAACAAAATTTTTTTTTAATTTATTTGAAAAGTACATAAACAGAGACGTTCCATCTGCCAGTTCACTCCTCCCAAATGCCCACAACAAACGGTGCTGGTCCTGGCCAAAACCGGGAGCCAGGAAGGCCACCCGGGTTTCCCATGTGCGTGGCAGAGACCCAAGAACTTGAGCACCATCTGCTGCTTCCCAGTGTAGTCGGAAGCTGAAAACGGAAGTTGAGCTGAGGCCCAAGTGGTGTCTTCACCCCTACACCAGACGCCCACCCCTAGGCTTCTCTCAGAAGCCTAAGAATGGGTTGTGCACCTGCAGAGTATACATATTTTTCTCGAGTGACCTCTTTTGTGTGTTTACATTTTTACATAAAGAATTGCTTTCTAGATGGCACAATTTCAGGTGACGTGGACGTGGTTTATCCTCTCCCCTCCCCATTCGCTCCAACAAAGCAGGGCGGTGTGAGATGCTCACGGAGCTATTCCTGGCTCTACTTCACGCCGACTTAATTCTGTGTCAGGTGTTCAGCAACCCCCAGAGGAAGCAGCCTGGCCCTCCCCCTGCCCTGAGTTCATTCCCAAGAACCTGGGCGAGCAGTGGCTCTAGAAGTCTTTTTTTTTTTTTTTTTTTTTTTTTTTGACAGGCAGAGTGGACAGTGAGAGAGAGAGACAGAGAGAAAGGTCTTCCTTTTGCCGTTGGTTCACCCTCCAATGGCCGCCGCGGCCGGCGCGCTGCGGCCGGCGCACCGCGCTGATCCGATGGCAGGAGCCAGGAGCCAGGTGCTTTTCCTGGTCTCCCATGGGGTGCAGGGCCCAAGCACCTGGGCCATCCTCCACTGCACTCCCTGGCCACAGCAGAGGGCTGGCCTGGAAGAGGGGCAACCGGGACAGAATCCGGCGCCCCGACCGGGACTAGAACCCGGTGTGCCGGCGCCGCTAGGCGGAGGATTAGCCTAGTGAGCCGCGGCGCCGGCCTTAGAAGTCTTCTGCTTCTGCTAGGTAAATGGCCGACGTGGGCTCCTCTTGCTTTCTGGGGAAGGGGTGGTTTGCTAGATCCCTTTACAAAGCTCTAGTTCATGCTGCCTTTTTATTTTTTTAAATTATTTTTTAGAAACCTTTTATTTAATGAGTATAAATTCCATAACTACATCTATAGGAATATAGTGATTCTTCCCACCAGACCCGCCCTCCTGCACACTACCTTTTTAAAAAGCTCACTTGATGGGGGCTAGCACTGGGGCATAGTGGGCTAAGCCACCGCCTTCAACGCTGGCATACCACATGGTTGCTGGTTCCAGTCCCGGCTGCTCCACTTCCGATCCACATCCCTGCAGATGAGCCTGGGAGGGTAACAAAGGATGGCCCGATGTCTTGGACCCTGGCACCCACACGGGAGACCTGGCTGGAATTCCAGGCTCCCGGCTTCAGCCTGGCCCAGCCCCAGCCACTGAGACCATTTAGGGAGTGATCCAGTAGATGGAAGGTCGGTCAGGCTCCTCTCTGTCTCTGTAACCCCGCCTTTCAAATAAATAATCTTAAAAAAAAAATGCCCATTTGAACACATGGGTCAGACAGCTGGAATTTTAGCAATGGTGATATGGTGAACATGTCCCCCAAATCCATCTAGTGGAAACCTGACCCCTGGTGCAACAGAATCGGGAGCTGCCCGAGTCGTGTGGGCCCGGCCCTCATGGGAAGGGCTGGGCAGAGGCAGTCTGTCTCCTGTGTTGCCCTTCTGCCTTCTGCCATGGGAGCACACTCCAGAGTGGGGATGCCAACTCCTTTTACTGCCAAGAGCCATCCAGATATTTAGAACATCATTCACGGGCCACACAAAATTATCAACTTAAAACAGCCTGCTGTAGATTTACTGAAATTCAAGTCCCACCTGTGGCTGCCTTGGCAAGGCCAGAACAAACGGTTTTTCACTGCAGCCTGCGGGCCGGATGTTCCCCATGCCTGCCCCAGGGGCTGCAAGGTCCAGGGGCCACCTGGAACCAGAGGGCATGCCTTGATCTTGACCTGCCGGCCTCCAAAGCCGTGAGAAATCAATGCCTGTTCTTTAGGAACTAGCCAGTCGCAGCCCTGACCTGGCAGGCTAGTCCTGAGCTGCCGGCTGTCTTCTGGAGCAGAGACTTTGGCCTCCTCCCTAAGACGGCACATGAAGGCCAGCTGGGGTGACAGGTGGGTGCTGGGCGCCATCGCTGCACTCACCCGTCATCTTGCACGCAGCTGCGTCCCCACTCGTGGGCTCTCCCTGGCTCTGTCCTCCAACCGCACATGCGCAGATGGGCCTCTGGAGCCCCCAAAGCTCCGCACAGCGATGCCCCCGTGTGCGTTTCCTTTCACGTTCATCAGATTCTCGGTGGGATCTCAGAACAGGAACTTCCTGCTCCCGGCTCCTCAAGGCCGCTGTCGCCATGGCGTGCTTCTGCAGCAATGGAACGGGAATCTCAGACTTCTCGTGCTAACAGGTAAATGAGGTCCGAAGCCAGGAAGGCCATGCAATGGGCCGCGGTCACACCTGAAGTGCAGGGAGCCCTCAGCCTCTGGCCTTGGAGAAGCAGCACCAGTTCCAGAGCAGGCTGCAGACTCCCCAAAACTAGCAACCATCGAGACTACAGCCACGAAGGGGCAATGACCACCCCGCGGTGGTGCCATGTACCCACCTGGCCCTCGGAGGTGCTGCTCCACCAGGATCTGGTAATGACAGTCCCTGTCCCCCCAACGCCCACCCGCCCGCCTCCACACCATTCCATGCCCACAGGATTCAACCAAGTGTGGGCTGAAAAGACTCAAAAAAACACTGCACCTGTTCTGGACACGTACAGACGTCTTTTTCTTGTCACTGTCACCGAACCACTACAGTATGGTAGGTATTTGCAGAGCACTTACGTCCCATCGGGAATTTAGAAAGAATCTAGGGGCCGGCGCCGCGGCTCACTAGGCTAATCCTCCGCCTAGCGGTGCCGGCACACCGGGTTCTAGTCCCGGTCAGGGCGCCGGATTCTGTCCTGGTTGCCCCTCTTCCAGGCCAGCTCTCTGCTGTGGCCAGGGAGTGCAGTGGAGGATGGCCCAAGTGCTTGGGCCCTGCACCCGCATGGGAGACCAGGAGAAGCACCTGGCTCCTGTCACCGGATCAGCGTGGTGCGCCGGCCGCGGCGGCCATTGGAGGGTGAACCAATGGAAGGAAGACCTTTCTCTCTGTCTCTCTCACTGTCCACTCTGCCTGTCAAAAAAAGAAAGAATCTAGGGACGATTCAGAGTGTATGGGAAGACTGTACGTTTTGTGCCTGTGCTGGATACGGTGGGAGGATGACTCCACACGCAGCTGAGTCCCCAGGGCCCCACTGCTGTGCTGCCCCCGAGGCTGGTCTGAGAAGCACACTCCGAGTAGCCAGGTCCTAGGACACACCCTAAGTTAGGGACTCGCCGAACATATCAGTCTGGATGTTGGCATCCAACCTTGCTGTCAGCCTAAGGAAGGCAGAGAGACGCAGGAAGAGGCAACGTAAATAAACCAGCACCACCGACAGACCCCAGAGGCCAAGGCTTTGCACCATTTTGCCGTTTATTTCAAGTTTACAGAGAAGCTTCAACATCTGTGGAAAAACACCAAAGGCTGATTTTTAAGTCCATGTACTTGTAAGTGATAAATACACAGTATTTAACTCTGTACACCTGATAAAAGGAAAATGCATAGTAGAAAGGGCAGGGAACAGAACGGGGAAGCACTGGGCGTCGTGCGAACAAGTGAGGGAAGTCGGCGCCCCCACGACCGTGGGCCCTGGGCGCGAGGGGAGGGGGGACCAGCGACCTGGAAGCCTTCCCTAGCACCTTGGAAGGAGGCTGGGTCGCAGTCCTGGCACGAGGCAGCAACGCAGCTCCCCTCAGGACGATGTGTGAGGGCGACCGGCCAAGCCTGCACAGACCGAGCACACAGGGCCTCTCCTCCTCAATCCAGGACGGCTTTGAAGATGGAGCCCTGCCTCACGGGGAAGCCAGACCTGCGAGCAGCCGGCCTCAGCAGCCCCGGGAGCCAAGAAGGGGCTCAATGAGGCTTTCTGGAAGCCGCTGGCGACCTGTGGGATGCACAGGGCAGAAGAAAGGGAAGGGGTGGAGGAAGCAAGGTGGGTGGAGGGTTTATGCCTCCTGCGAGGCCACAGGTGCAGGCAGCAGGTTGCTGACACCAAATGAGTCCTGCGGCGGGGCCAGCAACAGCAGAAATCCTGGACCCCCTCTCCGCCCCGCCAGGAAAAGCCGCTCCCGACAGCCTCTCCTTTCCTCGCAGAGCCGGCTTTGGCAAAATCAGCGCCTGTGCCCCGGAGGGGTGAGTGCCTCCGCTCCTTCTTCACAGGGTGGGGGCGGTTCCCTTCCACAGCTTTCTCTGGAAAATCTTAGACGGAAACCACGGCTGAGGGGAGAAGTGGCCGCGCCCGGTGCCGCTCCATGAACACGAGAGTCTTTCTGCAAAAGGCTGCAGGCCAGCTGGGCCGTGGGGCCAGAGTCCGCACAGCCAGGCCGAGGCTAAGACCCAGGGGCAGCTGGCTGTGACCACGGGGAGGTGCTCACCGCAAGCTGACCGAACTCCACCTGCTGCGGAAGGGGTGAACTTTGAAAGGGGAAGGGCAGGGGGAGGTGCTAGGTGACAAAGACAGCAGACAGGCGGCCGGCCCTGCCCAGGGGTTCCTTTGCTCTCCAAAATCAAGCGCTCCCTAGTTCTGATCTGCCTTTGCCGCAGCAACAAAAGTCTAGCTAAAAGACAGGCAAGAACTCAAAATAAAATAAAATAAAAACCATGGAAGCCAAGAGTGCCCAGGACTCTGTGACAGGCTGGGGAGGGGTCACAAGCCTTGGCTTCTGTGTTTGCGCCAAGGCCAATCAGACATGAACTACAGGAGGGCACGATCTTTGGAGCCAGGTCACCACGACCACGTTTCCCGCCCAAACCAGACTGCACACAGCACCAGAAAGCTGAAGCCGACTCTCCCACGCGAGTCCTCCCCGTTCCCTTCCTTCTCCAGTTCACCGGCATGGGGCTCCGGAAGGAGTCGCTCGAACCTCAACCGAAACTCCCGAACGTTAGCTGGAGGCCGGAACGTTCAGTCTTTTCTTTCCACGCTTCTGGATACAGAAGGGAACTTCCCGTGCCAACCCTCGGGTCCCCTGGACCCCAAGCTGTGCCCTGGGTCACCAATGTCAGCGTATGGCCCCTAGGGCAGCTCTGACGCCAAGGATGCGCTTTTGTGTCTCAGCTGAGTGACCCCGTGGGCAATCAGTTGTTCCTCAAGAAGCAAACAAAACCGTGGCGACCTCTGGAATTCGGTTCCTGAACAGGCTACGCTGCGGATGCACAGGTGCAGGTTTCCCTCGCTGAGACCGCGACCCTGGCTGAAGCCACCACACGCATCCCGGAAGCTTCGGGTCATTCAGAACGACTCGAGCTCAGCCTAGTTAGGAAGCGAGATTTTTTTTGTCTGTCCGTGTAATCTTCAGCCGTGTGATGTACATGGAGGTGAAGGACTTCACCCTGACGTTGTGACTGAACTGAGAGATTGACAGGAGCACAGTCAACCCTCAGCAGGCCGCGCAAAGCGGCCTTCACCAAGAAACTCCTCCTGTCGCGGCTCCGGCCGCCCTGCCCGGATCCAAAACTCCGCTTCGAGAAGCAATTAAACTTCAAGCCCTTGCGGTTTTCCTAACTACAGTTCTACCCATAGAAAAACTGGAAAAATCCTTACAAATAAATCGCACTGAGGCTCCCCGCAGCTACGGAGGGCCAGCCCTGCTGACCCCTGCCTTGAGCCCATGGTTCTGGAAGACGCCGTGGTCTGGGGTTTGTACAGGGGTCACACGGAACCTTGCACGCCCTCCCTCGATGCGGCAGCCACCGCTGCAGTTTTTGGGTTATTCCACACTTTTCAAACCCCACTCGCAGTCCTGGCACATCTGACACGGTGCTCAACTTGCAGCAAAGGATTTTTGGCATAAAAACACTTGAGAAAGCAAACACTCCCAGATGCCGGGGGTTGGGGGCTGCGACTCCCCCCACCCGCCCATTCAGCCAGCCAGCAGCCAAGGCAGACGTCAAGGAGTCAAGGCATTTTTTTTTTTTTTGGTCCTCTTTAAAACAACAAAGGAAAAGAACAAATAACCAGAGATGACGGTCAAGGCTCTACACACGTGCTCGGTGTCCGTAGGGCATGCTGCTAAGGACACGCGGGGCGTCGTGGCCACCCATGCGAGGTCGAGCGATCCGGGGCAGCTACTGGGGCTCCGTCGCCTCCTCGGGCCACAGCGGATGCATGTGTGCGGGGCCGCCTGGGGCCGCAGCCCCCCAGCTTCCCGCACGGGGACCGCCTTTCACAATCCGGGGGTGGGGTCGGTGCCCCGGGGGCTGTCGTCTTCGCTGCCTTGCTTCCTGCTCGGTGGACAGAAAACCAAGGTCAAGGCTCAGAAAGGACAGCAGCGCCCTGACCGTCCCCCCGCCCCCCTGCCTCTGGGCTCCATGAGCCCAGCCGTGCCGCCTTGCGCACCTGCAACCTCATCACCTCACCCTGCCCCTGAACAATCCACCCCTTCCTCCTTTTCTCTTGCATGCCCTACATGGAAGACCAGCATCTTTTGCCAAAATTAGCAGAGAATGGTAACACAGACGCAAAACCGCGTTCCACCTAAAATCAGTGCCATGTCACAGGGCGGGTGACACCTCACAGGGGCCCTGCCCCATGAGGTTTTCTTGGTCTCTTGACGCCCCTCCCCCCGCTCTCAGCCACAAGCTCTTGCAGAGCCGGAACCGGGACGTCCGTCTTCAGTCGCTCCTGGAGGGCAGTGGCACACGCTGGCCTTTAGGAAATGGCTGTCACCCAGGCCAAAGGATGAAGAGGCCCCTCCCTTCTCAGACGTGGGAGGAAGAAGGCCCTGGAGTCCCTGAACAGCCCTGCACTGGAGCTGCCTGGTGTGCCAGGGGTGGGTGGAGACACAAAGGAGGATTCCTGAGGAGGGGTCAGGGCCCCAGGCCGCCACACAGCAGCTCTTCCCTTGCCACACGGGGCCACTGTCTGTCCTTCCAGGAGGGAGGCACGGCCAGGTCTCTCTGGGACAGCAGGTGGAGCCCCCACCATGGGCACGGAGTCCCCACGTGCTGCTGGGCTGCAGGTCAGGGGACAACAGGGCAGCAGAGGCCTTTGGGCCCAGCTCGGACTGCTGGTGCCTCGCACACTTCTGACCACAGCGGACAGAAAAAGCAAACAAACAGGTTTGCTCCCAGCTCGGCAGACCCCAAAGCTGAGGATCAGAAGACAAAGGCTCAAGGCTCCCCCTGCACCGCCCCCACCCCGGGCAGGGGTCCTGCTCCTCCTGCCGCGGAGATGTCTGGGAACAGGCGGGGCACCGGGCCCCCCTCAGGTCATTGAGGACTCACTGCCGTTTCCCTACTCCACTCCTCGGGGCAGGGCCTCCCCCCAAAGCACAAATAATCCCCAAACCAGTGCCCCTTCCACACAACTCTACAGTAGGGGCAGCCAACAAATTTCACACCTGAAGCTGAGCCCTAACCAAAGAAATGGCGGCCATGGGGCCGGCGCTGCTACATAGGTTAAGCAACCACCTGTAGCACCAGCATCCCAGTGGACACCGGTTCAAGACCCAGCTGCTCCACTTCTGGTCCAGCTCTCTGTTATGGCCTAGGAAAGCAGTGGAAGATGGCCCAAGTCCTTGGGCCCCTGCACCCATGAGGGAGACCTGGAAGAAGCTCCTGGCTCCTGCCTTCAAATCGGCCCAGCTCCAGCCGTTGCAGCCATTGGAGGAGTGAGCCAGCAGATGGAAGACCTCTCTCTGTCTCCCTCTCTCTGTCTGTAACTGCCTCTCAAGTAAATAAATCAATCTTTTTCAAAAAGAGCGAGCAGCCACTTGTGTGCAAACATCCACAGCAGTGTTAGCCACCGCGCGGGGCGAGAAGTGGAAGCCCTGTCTGTTGTGGGTGGGTGGACGGACAGACGCAGAGTGCTCTGTCCGCAGTGGGACACGACTCAGCCATGGGAAGGGATTAAGCATTGACACATGCCACGACGCGGGCCAACCTCGCACACACCACGTGCAGTCAAAGAAGCCAGGCACCCGAGGCCAGCGCTACACGGCTCCACATGTATGAAGTGTCTAGGACGGGCAGACCCACAGAAGTAGAACAACTGCATGCTGGGGAATAGGCTAGTTGGGTAGGGATGGCTCAGGGGCACGGGGTCCTTCTCTGGCGTGGTATTTCAGCTCGACACAGCTATTCCTTAAAAAGGAAGAATGGCTGCCTGCAGCGCCCAGTTGAGGGGTCAGGCTCAGTGGGAGGGACACAGGGTCAACTCCCTGCCGAGGCCCTCGGGGGAGCAGGGGCAGTAGGGCACCACAGGACCTCCCAGGTTCACAGGGACAGAACCGTCCTCTGTCCTGGGAGGTGCCGGCAAGGCTGCTCTGGTCCGTGAAGAAGCAAGATGGCCAATAGGGAGCTGCTAAGTCTTGCTTCACTACAGTCTTCACACTCGCAAGGAGCAAGGGTGGGTGCTGGGGAGCCCCAGTGAGGAGCCAGGGAGGGCAGCTTGCCGGGTTCATGCCCTGACCACACGCACTCAGCAGCAGGACAGCACTGGGGCCCCTGACGGAGCTTCGAGGCCGTGGACGTGCACTGACGCGCAGCCACCCGACCAGGACTGAAGCCCTGGGTGAGCTCCCGGGCACTGCGGGTGGAGCGCCATGCACCCACAGCCCAGCCCACATGCACGACTGGCCACTGGGCCCAAGCCCCCTGGAGCCCCTGGTTTTAACCCTGAGTCTGGAGGTCCTTGGTGGGCCTGGGCACCACGAGCAGCCCGGGCTGGAGGAATGTCGAGCAGTGGGGGCGCCCCCGCTCTGCAGCCAGCCCCGCCCCCAGCCCCGGCAGAGGCCACGGCGCAGGCAGGCGGCGTTACCTTGGGCTCAGACAGGGGCTCACACTCCCTGGTTGGTTTTTTGCTGGAATTGCCAGAGGGAGGGAAAAGGGAGGTGAGAAGGGACCCTTGGGATCCACGGCTGCCCAGCCACCACCCCGGAGACACTCAGACCCACATCCGCACAGAGCCAGGGCAGTCTTTAGAACAGGCGGGTGGACCCCTCTCCTCATGGCCACAGAAGGTACACGGCCACCACAGGGCCTGAAACCCACCAAGAGCCGGCGCTTCTGAGCCACAGGAGTGCTTTCCCTATGTGGAGATGCCTCCTCCCCAAAGAGCAAGGCCCCTCGGAAAGTGAACACCAGGGAGGACTGGCTGCCGGCTTCAGGGGTGGGCTGAGCCAGGACAGTGGAAGTGAAGTCCCCGGCTGCTGCTGTCCCTAGGCGGCCGCACGGGTCCCTTCTGAGTCTTTGCAGTTGGCAGCGCTCCAGGGACGGCCCAGGCAGCGTGGCCCAGGCAGGGGTCCCCCGCCCCCACTGCGGGACAGGCAGGTGGACACTCACGTGAGCAGGTTCCCAGGTGCTGACAGAGAACGCTCCTCCCGCCGGCTGCCCTCGAACGGGTTCCCGAAGGAGCGTTTGCGTATCATGGTCTTCACCAGGATCTGGAGGGAGGAGAGGGTGACGGCTCCGCTGCACGGCCTCGCAGGGACGGTCCCAGGCACTGCCTACGCTCCTCCCTCTCGCCAGGCCTTTGAGGGATGCCACCTGTGTGGCAGCTTCCGTCCCACACAGCCTTCCCTCCAAGATCTCCCACGGCTCCCAACTGCTCAGATTACAGCTCAGGCTGCTGTCATCTCGGCCCGGCCACGCTGCCCCGCTTGGCCCCCTGGCACACCTAGTACCTCATCCTCAAGTGTCACCTGAGCCGGTGCTGGGTGTGCCCTTCTGGCACAGCAACCTCTGTCACCCTCAAGACCAGGCCTTTAGTCCCAGTGGAAGCTGCCTATACCCCCACCCCCAGTCCCACTACACACACACACACACACACACACAGGAACAAACCACTGCTTCTCCGGTGTCATTCCGGGGACCCGCGGATTCCAAATGAGACCCAATTCAGACACAGTAAACCCCAAAGTAAACCACGCAACAGCTCTCGGCCTCCTCCCCACACCGCTCCCTAATCTCAGAACATCCGCATCGCCCCTAAGGAAGCCCTAGAGCGGGCAGCGGTCACTCCCCGTCACCGCCCTGGCCACCACTCGTCTTCCTGTCTGTACACAGGGACCTGCTCTGCACATTTCCCATCAACAGAAGCACAGCGCTGGCCTTCGGGGTCTGGCTGCTCTCACTCAGCACTGAGTCTCCGAGCTCCATCCATGGGCAGCGTGTACAAGAAGGCCGGGCCTTCTCAGGTCACCCATTCCTTCGCTGCTCACTGCCCAGCTGGTGGGCGTGGGGCTGTGCCCACTCAGGTGTTCTACAGCAGGTGAGCCTGTTTATCTCCTGACCAGTAGTGCCCGAGGGAACCAGCTTGGGGTGGGGGGGCGAGGACGGATACAGCTGAGTTGGGAACAAGGAGCATCTGAGTGGGAGGTCCCCCAGGACGCAGGACAGTCAGTTCACGGTAGTGTGGAGGCAAAGGGGCTCAGAGGGCCCAGAAGGTCCTTCTAGGTCTGGGAGATGCTGGGGCCTCTTCCCCGGCCTTGCCCTCTCTACCCAGGCGGGATGTGCTGCCTGCCTGTGGCTGAGAGGGTCCTAGCAGAAAAGGTGGCCGGTGCCGCGGCTCAATAGGCTAATCCTCCGCCTGCGGCACGGGCACCCTGGGTTCTAGTCCCGGTCGGGGCGCCAGATTCTTTCCCGGTTGCCCCTCTTCCAGGCCAGCTCTCTGCTGTGGCCTGGGAAGGCAGTGGAGGATGGCCCAAGTGCTTGGGCCCTGCACCCCATGGGAGACCAGGATAAGTACCTGGCTCCTGCCATCGGATCGGCGCGGTGCGCCAGCCGCAGCGCACCAGCCGTGGCGGCCATTGGAGGGTGAACCAACGGCAAAGGGAAGACCTTTCTCTCTGTCTCTCTCTCTCTATCCACCCTGCCTGTCAAAAAAAAAAAAAAAAAAAGGCCAAAAGCAGAAAAGGTGCTGTCCCCTCACACCTGAGCCACTGCTTAGCCTCTCCCCCAGCTCTGCCTCTCCTTTGCTCTCTCCCTGGTGTGTCCCCCCGGAAAGTTCTGGAACAAGGAAGTGACTCAATCCCCAGTGGAGATGCTTCTGGCTGTTGCACGCCATGAGGGAAGTGGCAGAGGAAATGGCCTGCAGACCCCGGCAGGAATCACTGGGACGCCAGGCCACGGACCTCACGCCCCTCGGCCACACGCAGCGCCTCTCTGAGCTCTTGCCTGTGCGGCTGCAGCTTCTGATTTTAAGGGTTTGCTGCTACAAAGAAAAATGCTTTTAAAATACACCAATGTGGGGGCTGGTGCTGTGGCACAGGTTAAGCCTCTGCCTGTGGCGCCGGCATCCCATATAGTTACTGGTCAAGTTTTGGCTGCTGCACTTCTGATCTGGCTCCCTGCTGATGGCCTGGGAAAGCAGCAGAAAATGGCCCAAGTCCTTGGGCCCCTGCACCCACATGGGAGAAGTGGAAGAAGCTCCTGGCTCCTGGCTTCAGATCGGCCCAGCTCCGGCCATTGCAGCCACCGGGGGAATGAACCAGCAGATAGAAGATCTCAATCTCTCTATTTCTGCTTCTCAAATAAATACATAAATCTTTAAAAAAAAAAAAAAAAAAACACTGATGTACAGAATAGTGACAACACCCAAGTGTCGCATCAGCTGGTGGGGGTGGGGTGGGCGAGGGGACGGTGGGTGGGTCTTAGGAAGGAAGGAAGCGCCCACGGACCTGGAAGACGCGGCGCTGAGGGAAAGGAAAGGCGGCGGATGCCGCCCGGCGCGTGGCTCCACACAGGCGGATCCACAGACGGGAGGCAGGTCACTGGTGCCGGCGACCGGCATTTGTTTTGAGAAAAATGTTTCAAACCATCGAGGTGAAAACTGCACAAGACTGCGCATGTACTAAATGCCACTGAGCCGTCCACTTGAGAATGGGCCCTCTCCTGTGGCACGAATTCTACTTCCACAAAGAAACAAAAGACAAGACCTCCACTTGGGGACCACAGCCCCCAGGGCTGGCTCTGGACCTCGCTGTCTTTCTGAGCCCGAGCTCCGGGTGCTCAGTGAGCATGTGTTCAATGACAAACACGTGGACCAGGCCTGGCCCTGTGGCTGTCTCCCGAGTCGCACACCTCCCTGACCCCTGCCACCTAACACACATGCCCTTGTTCCAGCTGCCCCGGATTCAAACCCGGCAGGAATTTCCCGGCCCCTAGAGGTCAATATTCTTGTTGTACCCTCCCTGCACCTTCCCTGCCCTGCTGCAGCAGCCCTGGCTTTCTGGAAGCTTCCGGAAGGCCCAGTTCCTTCCCACCAGAGGTCACCATGTGTGTTGTCCCCTCGCCTGAGCGTTCTGCCGTCTCATCTGGGTCAGCACCCACACTGTCTCTCCGAAGGCCTCAGACACCACCTGGGCCGGGGTCACGGCACCCCCTCTACTCGCTGGCCAGGATCTGCCTCCCCTGCCCTTGTTCATGACTGTAGCCCCCGCTCCCAGCACAGGCCTGAGAGACCACTCCACATTCGGAAGTGTTCCCGGAAGAATGAGGCCTACTCAGGCCTCTGGGATCGAGAGCCGAGAGCTGCAGAGGGGAGGGACAAGAACATCCCAGACCGGAAAAAGACGACCCATGGCGCACGCAGAGTGCAGCGCCCGCTGCCTCCCCTGGCATGGGCACAGGACAGGGGAGCAGGGACGGAGGAGGCAGAGTGGGGGGTGTGAGTCATCAACAGTGAAGGTCATGCAGGGGCCCCAGCGGGGCAGGAGGAGGAGGAGGGGGATGAATGTCCCGGCCCTGGGGGCCCAGGCTGTAGAGGAGAGGAAGTGTTAGGGCGCAGGAGGGAGCAATGCGAAGCTGGAAGAGGGGCCGGCACCTCGGCTCCTGAAGGGGCAGCGCTCGAGGCCAGATGCTGTCTACAGTTTCTCAGGTCTCTCCCAGAGCCCAGGGACCTGCCAGCCAGCTGGGGCCAGCGCTGGCCAAACAAAACCAAGGTTTCCACAGTGGCCACGGGGGAGCAGCCAGCAGGTCTCTAACCCCAGGACCTGCTGGAGTGAGATGCCCTCTTGGGCAGGGGCTTGGCGACTGTGTGATTCCCAGAGTCTCCAAGGTTAGGCCTGAGGACTCCACATTCTGGCTGCTTCTTGGACTGGACCCAGATTCAAGACCAAAAAAGGGGGCCGTGCGGCTCCCACGCAAAATCCCACTCAGCAGCTGAGAACTGTCTGAGACGTGGGACCTGCTAGGACTTTTGTCCTGGACGCTGAAGATCCAGCCAGGTGGAAACCCAACATTAGAGATCTGGGCTCCAGCTCCTAACCCTGGACTCCTGCCCGGCCACTCTAGAAGCTACTCCTCCTTTTCTGGAAGCAGGTCTTGCTCAAGGCCCAGGAGAATCCTTTAAAGTAGCTGCAACGGCCCCCACTCCAGTAACCTAAGAGCTGGCCCAGCAGTAGTGGGCGCATGGCTTGACATGTGACCAACCCCAGGGACCCAATGCAGGGGGTCAGGGCAGGCCTCATGTCTGCTTCCCAAGTGGCCGCCTATATCCCAGCCCTGTCCTTGCCAGCCCTGCTCTTGGTCACTGGTTCGTCCGCCTTACCACCGTCGCCAGGCTGGGAATGTGTTTGACCGAATTCTCGACCTCTTCTTCCGTCACCTCGACCAACGTGCAGTTCTCATCCTCGGATGGCAATGGCTCGGCCCCGTGCCTCGTAACCCAGGGGTGCAGCTTCAACGAATGACAGGGAGGGGTGAGGGGCAGGTGCACCTGCTCCCCGGAGGCCCTGGCAGCGAGCGGGGCTGAGGGGGGCAGGTGGCAGGGAAAGGCGAGGGCCTGTGGTCAGGCATGCGAGAGCTGGTGAGCCAGGCAGAGGGCAGGGTGAGTGAGATGGCAGGAAGCGTGGAGAAGAGAGGCACAGAGAATGCCGGAGCTACAGGGCTGAGACGTGTGCAGGACAGATTCTCCATCTGGCCCCGGGTCTTGGCAGAAGTATCTTGGCAGAATCTGGCTGCCCAGGGAGCTCCTGTCACCCCTTGGCAACTCTCCCTGGTACCTGGAGGGCTCATCTCAGAGCAGGTGTCCTCCTCCCCACCTCACAGGAGGGAAGCAGGCTCAGGGAGGCACAGGGAGGCCAGTGGGAAGGACACAACCAAGAGAGGACCTGGGCCAGGCTCTGCCACCCCCACTCTGGGGCCCAGCCCTAATTCATGGCTTTTAGGGCTGCTCCCTCTTAAGGTACCTTCCAATGCTCCTTACCAGGTCCCAGAACAAATCTCTAGATTTCTTACAGGGCCAGATGTGTGCTAATGGATTAGCAGGGGTGCAGGGGTACATGGGGGGGGGGGGTGGTCTCTCCTCAAAGTGCTTCTGCAAGGAGGTGGATTCAGCAAGTGAGGGAGGCTGAGTGCTTGCTAACAACCTCTCACCCTCACGGCACTCTCTCAAAGGAACAGGCCCACACCTCTCACAGTCAGGACAGGTTTGGCAGCCAGATGTGCAGCACCCACATCTGTCCATCGCCCAGATCAGTGTACAGGCGATGGACACCTTCGGCCCAAGCCGATCGGAGCAAGCACAGGCTGCCCACTGGTTGCTCGTGGAACCCATTCCCAAGATCACAGTGAACACAACCCCCAGATCTTCTTCCCCACCCCTCACCAGCTCCCAGTAGTTCAGAGGCCCCAGGACACGGAGGGCAGCAGTGCCCAGGAGGGCGTGGAACTGGGGGTGGAGAGGGTGGGGGCCCAGCCAAGGCGGGAGGGAGCCAGACAATCCCAAGCCCCAGAGGCAGGCCGAGCTGCAGGTGCCCATCCGTGGAGCCAGCAGCATGCCCCAGGTACCTTGATTTCCGGCACCACGATCCTCGACTCAGGGTTCTTGTCCAACATACGAGTGATCAGGTCCTTCAAATCCTCGGCTATGTCAGGCCTGGGGAGGGGGGGGACACATCAGAGGCCTGCCGCAGTCTCCACAGACAGGTGACCCAGGACACACGGGCGATACTCACTGGTCTGGAAACTCCAGGGCCTGACTCTTGATCTTGCTATGCAAACACATGATCCGCTCGTCCATGAACGGGCACTGTGAGGAGAGCCAGGGACAGCGTGGCCGTCAAGGCTGCTGCCACATCTGCCCTCCAAGGTCTGCCTGTGCTGCGTCACTACACGTGGGCTGTGGCAGAGAAGTCAACAGCCGGGGCCCAGGCTAGGGAGGGATCTGCTCCCGTCCCGCCGAATCCCTGAAGAACCACAATGCCCGCAGAGCCCTGGCCTCATCCGGCCGCGCTGAGGCCTCCCCCGGGCTGGGCTTCAGTTTCCCTCTTTGCGCAGTGGTCACTTCTCACCCACCAGCCAGGTGAACGACCACGCACACCAGGACTAATGCAGAAAACGCTGGAGCAGCCGTGGCGCTGAGCCTGGACCGGACCCTGCACTGCAGATTTGTGTGACCAACCGTCATTCGCTCTCCCTCTGCCTGGACTGCTCGGCTTACTCTCCCCCATCATCCAGGGGTCTGCACAGAGCTCAGCTTCTCAAGGATACCTTCCCCGGCCGAACCCCCTCTAAGGCAGACCCACCCACCTCATCCCCAGGCCACAGCCCCCGTCCCTGACGCTAGTGGGCATCTTCACGCGTTCACTGCTTAACTCCTCCTCTGGAGCGTCGGCTCCAAATGGGCAAAGATTTAAAAAAAAAAAAAAAAAGATTTATTTATTTGAAAGGCAGAGAGAGAGAGAGAGATCTTCCATCCACTGGTTCACTCCCCAGATGGCCACAAATGGCTGGAGCTGGGCCAGGCCAGAGCCAGGAGTCTGAACTCTATCCAGGTCTCCCCCAGGGGTGGCAGGGGCCCAAGCCTTGGGGTCATCTCCTCAGCTTGTCCAGGGAGAGCAGCAGGGGGCTGGATTTGAAATGGAGCAGTCAAGACTCGAACTAGCGTCCATGCAGGGTGCTGGCATTGCAGGCAGCTGCCTAACCTGCTGCTCCACAACGCCTCCCCCCACTGCTCCCATTTTACAGAGGAGACAGAAGTTCCAAGAGGGGACGATGCCCCAGGAAGGACAACAGAGATTCGAGCCTAGCCTAGGTGCCTGTGCAGCCCACTGCACCGCGGCACAGATCTGTGCGCTACCCAGCCTGACCCAGGGGGAGCTGAGTAACGTGCGCTGGTAACAGGAGCTCTCTGGGGCGTGCCTAGAAGGTTGCACACAGCAACCCACTCCACTCCCACCCAGAGAACAGGCGTTGGCCTGTCCAGTCTGCAGAACTCACTGTGAACTCAACAGGGAAGGTCTGTACGTTTCATGGGAGTAAGGTTTCCTCAAAAAGAAGGAAAAAGGATCACAAAACAAATATTGAGCTCTAGCCAACAAGTGTACACTAACGCTTGGAAGCAGGTATAGAGGTGTTGGCAGCTCACTCTGAAATGTATTAAAAAATAAAATGGGGGGGGGGGGATGGAAGGGAGAGGCATTGTGGTGCAGCGGGTTAAGCCACTGCCTGCAATGCCAGCATCTCATATCTGAGTGACAGTTTGAGTCCCTGCTGCTCCTCTTCCAATCCAGCTCCCTGCTAATGTGCCTAGGAAGGCAGTGGAAAATGGCTCGACTACTTAGCTGGGTCCCTGCCACCCATGTGGGAGACCCGGCTGGAATTCCAGGCCCCCAGCTGCAGCCTGGCCCAGCCCCTGCCATTGCAGTCCTGTGGGGAGTGAAGCAGTGGATGGAAGATTCTCTGTCACTCTGCATTTCAAATAAAAAAAATCTTTAAAAAGACAAATACAATAAATGAGAGGAGGGGTGGAGAGAAGAGCAGACAGGCACGCCGTAAAGCAAGCATGGCCAAATGTCCACCTCAGTAGAATCCAGGTGCAGGGTCTGACCATTCTCTGTTGTGAGACTGAAATGCTTTCAAACCAAATGCTGAGTGCACGGTTATAATCCCCCTTAGTTTTTCAGGGGACCAGTCTCTTAAACTTCCCTCAATCGGAACACAAACTCACGAAAGGGAAAAAAATCTATACCTTTATCACATACATAATCAAACTAAGCTTCAGAGTTAAAAAGTCTCTAAATATATCAACACTATTGAAACAAGAACAAAAGAACGAAAAGTCAAAACAGCACTCCCCCAAATCAATGATGCTAAGTGGACGTTAATATCCATGATCAATCCTATCTCTCCAACAACGGCACCTAGGAACACCTTAGTGGAAAGAACATCAAAGCAGTATCAGGCTCAGGAGGGAAGAGTGAACTTATTGATTAGTGATGTCTGTCTCAGGCTCAGGAATGGGCAGAGGCGGCGCGTTTGATGCCTTTTCCTGACTTTATCAACTATTTATAACCTCCAGAGCCCTGCCAATCCTTCTAACAGATCGTTTTGCCACAGATGGGAGTCTCCTGAAAAGATACACAAATTTTGGAAGGTGTCCTTTTTCATTTTCAGAACTATCTGTGGAAATAAAATAATAGGACTTTCAAATGAGTCTGTCACTGGCTCAACGCCAGGGTGAATATCAACAGGGGGACACCCAGGAGTGCTTGGGAGGGGGATACCCCACCCTGTTACCTGGCCAAAGACAAAGCAGTACAGCGTCACACCCATGGCCCACACGTCCAGAGCCTGCACAAGGAGAGAGAGCTGTGCGTGAGAGGGCAAGTGGCAGTCACGGGCATGACCACCTCGGTCTGCCCAGCGTCCCATCCCCCAGCTTCCCTTTGGGGAACTCACTCAGTCCCAGCCCTAAAGTCACGGTGTCCCTTCACCTCCAGAGTAGGCACATGACCCAGGCCTGGCCAGTGAGAACACTACTTCCCCTAGCCAGTGACTGGCTCAAGGATGGACACGTGACCTGCACTGGGCCAATCAGAATCAATCCCAGGGTTCCTGCAGGAGCAATTCTCCAAGAGGAATGCTCCCGCGGCCAGTAAACTGACACAAAGTGGCCCGGAGCGGCTGAGGAGGAAAGCAGAGCTGAAAGACGGAGACGGACAGATTCCCGTCCCAGGCCCAAAGCCCAAGGTACCCACTCCCCAGGTAAACGACCTGCGGGACTTGCTGTTTGACAGGCACTGGAGCAGGCAGCACCCAGTGCCTTGGGCAGGTCGGCACCCACCTTCCCGGAGAAGATCTTGCGGGTCTCCGAGAGGGACTCGGGCGCCATGAAGGCGGGCGTGCCCACGGTGTTGGACAGCAGTGCGTCGCTGCCCTTGAACTCATTGCTCACGCCGAAGTCGGCGATCTTGATGTGCCCGTCTTCTCCGACCAGCAGGTTGGAAGGCTTGATGTCTCGGTGGATGATCTTCTGGTAGTGCACTGGGGCGACAGCGGCAGAGCCCCGTGAGGATCGCCACGTGGCCACAGGGCCCACAGCAACAGCAGGGTCCCCGCCGTGGAGCCTCAGGCCTTCCTCAACACCCTCTCCCTAAACCTGCCGGGCACCTATGTGCTCCGAAAGGAAAGGCAAAACAGTGCCTTCGGGCAAGTTCCTACGTTCTCAAACCTGACGAGTGAGACCCAGCTGCCAACAGCAAATCCTAACGGTCAACGTCTGAGTCATAGGCCACCGTGCACGGGAGCGGCTGTGGAGCTTGGCTCCCAGTGGCAGCCCAGAGACTATTTAAGGGAAGGATGGTGACGTGCAGGTGATGGTATCAGTGAGAGCAGTATCCAGGGGCTGGCACTGTGCCGTAGCAGATTAAGCCTCTGCTGCGGCACCAGCAGCCTGCATGGGCACTGGTTTGAGTCCTGGCTGCTCCACTTCCCAATCCAGCTCCCTGCTAATGTGCCTGGGAAAGCACTAGAGGATGGCCCAAGTGCTTGGGCCCTTGCACCCACGTGGGAGACCCGGCTTCAGGTTGGCCCAGCTCTGGATGTTGTGGCCATTTGGGGAGTGAACCAGCAGATGGAAGACCTCTCTCTCTGTCTGTAACTCTGCCTCTCAAACAAATAAATAAATCTTTAAAGAAAAAACTGGAGCAGCACTCAGTCTGGGGCCTTGACCTATGCTAAGTGTCTCACTTCTATCCCAAGTAAACCTCACAATAATCACACGTGATGCACAGGGGCAGGAATCCAAATATTTGACAACCAGAAGCAGAAAAAAACACCTGTCAGTCAGAACTACTGGTGCCAGCTGGCCGCTGTCAGTCCCGGTGAGAGATACTGTTTCCCCGTTTCACAGATGAGGAAACTAAAGTGACAAGAGGTTAACAGGTTCCCCGTCCCAGGGCTACTGGGAAGAGCAAGGTGAAGCCCACAGGGCTCCTGACAGTGCCTGGCACCCACAGCGAGCCCCGGGGTCGAGGGTCGCTGTCGCCACTCCTCCTGTCCCCCAGGGCAGAGCCCCAGGCTGGCTTCTGCAGCTGTCCCTGCCCAGCCTCACACAGCCCTGCTGCCCACCCAAGGCCCGCGCTCCACGAGGAAAACGGGACACATTCCGCTTTCCACCCACCAACACCCTGCCCCCCTGCCATCCTCCCCCAGGCCCCGCTTACGGTACTCGATGCCTTTGATCAGATCCTGGAAGTAAAACCGGGCCTGGTCTTCAGACAGTGGCTTGAGGGTGGGCACTTCCATCACGGGCCTGCAGGGTTGACACCCACATGCACTGCAAGCCGCCGCCCCCAGCCCCGCCCTCTCTCCCTGTCTGGGGGCTGGCGCCGCCTCCCTGGGCTTTGCCGCTCAGAAGGTTTCTGGCTTCACACGCTGAGGGGCTGGACACTCACCCTTGGTTGACCAATTCGAACACTGCAGAGAAGGGAAGGGGGCAAAAAGTCACCCTGGGGAAGAGGAAGCTCATCTCCCTCCCCGCCCCCACCGCCTCTAGAAACAGCATGGGGCCAAGGACGGAACCGAGGACGGGAACCGCCCGCCCAGCCCAGGCTGTGTGAGGTCCTGCTCTGCTAAGGACCAGAGGTTTCTGATGCTCCCAGAACTGCAGCCCGGCTTTTCCTCTGGTGCTCAAAACTGGCCAAAGAAAACACGGCAGGACTGATGCCGAAAGGGGTCGTCCTCTGGCCTCACCCAGGCCCTCGGGCACTGTACGCCTAAGGCAGCGCAGATCCGCTGCTGCCCTGGGCTGCGGTCAGAAGCCCTGGCCTCCCCTGCCTGGATGATTTGTCTTAGCCTGCAAGCAGCCTGAGTGTCTCCACCTTCCTGCCACCCACCCACGCACCCAAATCCCTCGGCAGGGAGAAGCTGGCCCACCTGTGGCAACAGGCCTCTGTGCAGCCACCACTCTGGGGGCTAAGGGGTGGGTGAAAATTCACCTCCGGGAAGACAGGCGGAACGTCTACCCTTTGAGGGTCAGGCCTGTGCTTATAAAGCCCTTCCTGAGCCCTGCCAGCCGGCCCCACGCACCAGCCTGTCCGTCCCCGGCACACACACAGCCGTCAGCCACCTCGAGGACGGAGACCTCCGGCCAGGAAGCTGCTGGCTCCAAGAGCTTAGGAACCTCCTCTCTGAATCTGCGTCATGTTCTTTAGTTTTTTATCTTTTTAATTAATTTTAGTTGTATGTAAAAGGCAGAGAGGCACTCTGAGACAGATCTGTCACCTGCTGGTTTACTCCCCAGATGCCCACAATGGCCAGAACTGGGCCAGGCCAAACTCTGTAGCTAAGAATTCAATCCCGAGGCCAGCGCTGTGGCACAGCGGGTAAAGCCACACCTGCAGTGTTGGCATCCCACATGGGCGCCAGTTTGAGTCTCGGCTGTTCCATTTCCAATCCAGCTCTCTGCTATGGCCTGGGAAGGCAGTGGAAAATGGCCCAGGTGCTTGGGCCCCTGCACCCACGTGGGAGACCTGGAGGAAACTCCTGGCTCCTGGCTTCAGATCGGCACAGCTCTGACCTTTGTGGCCAACTGTAGAGTTAATCAGCTGATTGAAGACCTCTCTCTCTGCCTCTCCTCTCTCTGTGTAACTCTTTCAAATAAATAAATAAATCATGATTAAAAAAAAAAAAAAAAAAGAACTCAATCCAGGTCTCCCACATGGGTGGCAGGAACCCAACCACTTGAGCCACCACCCACTGCCTTCCAGGGTGTGGCTGAGCTGGAAGCTGGGACTAACAGTGAAGTCAGGACTTGAACCCAGGCATTCTGCTTTGGGACATGGGAACACGCCTGTCCTGGGCGTGTTCTTCCACTCCCAGCTCAGAGTCAAAGCCAAAGTCTTACAATGGTATATAAAAAGTACCCTCGGGACCGGCGCTGTGGCGTAGCGGGTAAAGCTGCCGCCTGCAGTGATGGCATCCCATATGGGCGCTGGTTTGAGACCCAGCTGCTCTACTTCTGATCCAGCTCTCTGCTATGGCCTGGGAAAGCAGTAGAAGATGGCCCAACTCCTTGGGCCCCTGCACCGGTGTGGGAGACCAGAGTAGGCTCCTGGCTTCAAATCGGCACAGCTCTGGCCATTCCGGCCAGTTGGGCAGTGACCAGGAGATGGAAGACCTCTCTCTCTCTCTCTGTCTCTCTTTCTCTCTCTATCTCTGTGTAACTCCTCCTCCCTCTGTGTAACTCTTTCAAATAAATAAATAAACATTTAAAAAAAAAAAAGTGCCCTCTGCCGCCCCATCCCCACTGTCCACCCCACGTCACCTCGGCGAGGCATCCTCCAAGGAGTTTCCACTCCTAACCTGGAGCTCCCGGCTCCTCCTGCCAGGCTCAGGTTTTGCTTTTGTTTTTTCAGAGCTGTCCTCCTCGGGCCCTGCACAGAACAGGGGCCGTGCACTGCTCAGCAAAAGTGTTCCCACTAGGCGGCCCCATCTTTGTGACCTCACACAACCCTGGTAGGCACCGGTCATCCTGCACAGTGGCCATCTGATGTTATCAAGAAGCACCATAAATGCCAGGCGTGTGAGTGGGGCCACTGCTGGCAGAGGCGACCTGTTGTTAACAGGGTGCCCTCTAGAATACCACGCACAGTGGTCATCTGCAGGTGCTCTCACACGGCCGCCGGCTGCCCTGGCATGACCATGAGTAACGCCTGCGCCATGAGCCGGTCACTGGACTGAGGAAGTTCTATCCACCCTGATCTTAGGGGACCGCCCGGCTTGGCCAAACCACCGCTGGGCGGACTTGACTGTACTCGGGGCAGGGACCGTGGGGTCTGGCCCCTGACAGATCTGGACCAGACTGCAGCATCTGTTGGACGGAAACTTCAGGAGCAGCCCACGGCCACTCGTGGTTGCCAGGACTGTCACTCTGGCCCCAAACGACTGCTGGCCTCCTGCGGTTTTCGCTGGATTTCCCTCGCCTGTCCACCACGTTTACAGCCTGGACATTCCGATACGCTACATACATTCTTATTCATCGAATGCTTTTCCTTTAAGTCGACTCAGTTTTTAGCTTTTCAGCCTTGGCCAGGGTGCTGATGTCCGTGACATCACTGCTGGTTATAACTTCCTCACACAGCGCTAAACCACATCCAAATAAAAGGTGTAAAATGGTTTCCAAGTACCCCCCAAAAATCACCACATACTTCAAATGATAAGGGGCAGGTGCATGGCGTAGTGACCAACACTGCACTTGGGACGCCTGCATCCCTGCTGGAGGGCCTGGGCTCACGTCCCAGCTCCGCTCTGATACCAGCTTCCTGCTACTGTGCACCCTGGGAGGCAGGTGATGGCTCAAGTACTTGGGCTCCTGCCACCCATGCGGGAGACCCAAATAGAGTTCCTGGCTTCTGGCTTCAGTGTGGCCACCCCAGGCTGTTACAGGAATTTGGGGCACTCTGTCAATCTGCCCCTCTCTTTCTCTCTTTGCCTCTCAAATAAAAATAAATAGGGGCCAGCACCGTAGCATAGCGGGTAAAGCCATCATCGCCTGTGGTGCCAGCATCCCATATGGGTGCTGGTTTGAGTCCCACTTGCTTCACTTCCAATCCAGCTCTCTGCTATGGCCTGGGAAAGCAGCAGAAGATTGCCCAAGTCTTTGGGCCCTGCATCCGCATGGGAGAACCAGAAAAAGCTCCTGGCTCCTGGCTTCGGATTGGTGCAGCTCTGGCCGTTGCAGCCAATTGGGGAGTGAACCAGGGGATGGAAGACCTCTCTCTCTCTCTCTCGGCCTCTGCCTTTCAAATAAATCAATAAATATTTAAAAAATAAATAAAAATAAAAATAGTTTTATTTTTATGTATGTATACATATATAAATATGATATGTAGTATCATATTTCAAGAAATTCTGAGTTTCTGCAACGTCTACATTTTTATAAACCTTTCTCTCCTTTTGTACATCTCTCCTAATTTTCACAGTGATAAAGCTGATATCTGATATAGCTTCTAAACTGTTTCTAAAGGTTTTTAAAAGTAAAGTTTGAGTGTGGACCACACGAGGTCTCTTAAGGAACTGGGTAACCTCCTCGGGTGCAGCCTTCTGCAGCGCTCACTTGTGGCCCCCAGCAGGTGCGGCAAGGACAGGCCATCTGTGCAGGGACGCCTGGGACAGCGGCGGCCTCAGGAGACCCCAGGCCTTGGCAGGAGCGGCTGCCTGAGCGAAGGTGGTGGGGAGAAAGGGCTCCTTACCCATGTACAGATGGTCCTCGTTGGGGTCATCCAGGACCTTTGGCACAGCCATGCAGAGAGGCCAGGCAGGAGCAGGGGGAGGGAGAGAGAGCAGACATGAGCATGGGAGAAGCAGCGTCCACACACACACCTGCGTCTGCCAGCGGGGCTGCCCGTTCCAGCCCTCTTGCCAGGCGAGACAGAAGGCCCAGGACAAACACCCCGGCCCTGAACCTAAAGCACCACCCAGCCTCGTCCTCAAGGGTCCCATAGACCCAGGAAGAGGGTTACAACTGTGAGAGGCGAAATCCCCCAGGTAAGAGTCCCACCCATCTCCTACAGGACAATGGCCCAGTCTCCAGGTACAAACTTCAAATCCTATCTGGGCTCAAGGGACCGCCCCCCCACCACCACTGCAGCAAGAGAGTCGTCGCCTGCCTGGCACTGCCCCAGCGCGGTCTCTCTCTCAAAGGCCGCGTCCACCTCGGCTGCCTCAGTGGTGCCCCATGCAGGGCTGGGCACACAGCAGGTTCTCAGGAAGGGTGATGAATGAACAGGTGGTTCAGAGTCTTGGGTGCAGAGGTCAGATGCCACAGGGCAGTGGGGGGAAGGGAGACCCTGCCAGAACCCAGGGCCACTTGCTAACCAAGTGCCCTTGGGTTTCTTCTACAATGGCTGACCCGCAGCACTGGGTGGACATCATGAAACTCAGCGTGACAGGTGGAGGTGGCCTGCAGCTGCCGCCTCCCCACTGTGGGAAGAAACCAAGGCGGGCTCGTTGGCTAGGCTGGTCCTCCCAGCTCTTCCCAGACACAAAGGCTCTGAGAAAGGGATACACATGAGGCAGAGCCGGGGAAGCCAGCCTGGAGCCTGGAGCCCAGAGCCCCGCCCTGCAGGGAAGTCAGGCCCAGGGCCTCGCACCTGTGGGCCCCCATCTACCAAAGGCAGGACGCTGGGCCTCCCCTCTGAAGAGGCCTCCGGCCCCTTGCACATGCTGCTCCTCCCCCAGCAACGCTCCTGCCTGTCGTCATCTCCACCCGGGAATCTCAAACATCGCTTCCTCCAAGGGGCCTTCCCCAGGCCCTGCAGGCTGAGCTGCTGCCCCCACTCCACGCTCCCAGGGCTCGCAGTGTCCCACACAGTACCCTTCAGGCACTGCTGACAAGCCCTGGTCACCTCACCCAGAGGGGCTCCAAGCATGACCTGGGACTCCTGGGGGTCCCCAAGATGCTTTCAGAGAGTCCACAAAGGTAAAACACTTTTCACTTTAGAGAAACAGCAACATTGGCTTTTCCCATATACAGGGGGTTTCCAGAAACCATGAGACATGAGACTTTGCCAACAGGTTGAGGGCAGCACAGATCCAAGAATCCAGATCTCACCTATTAGGCTAAATATTAGCAGGGAAAATTAGCGAAACATAAACCATATCACTGGGGCCAGCACTATGGCACCTGTGGTGCCGGCATCCAATATGGGCGCCAATTCGAGTCCTGGCTGCTCCACTTCCGATCCAGCTTCCTGCTGATGGCCTGGGAAAACAGTCGAAGATGGCCCAAGGGTTTGGTCCTCTGCACTGGCGTGGGAGACCCAGAAGAAGTTCCTGGATCCTGGCTTTGGATCAGCCCAGCTCTAGCTCTTGCGGCCATTTGGGGAGTGAACCAGCAGATGGAAGACCTCTGTCTCTCTCTCTCCCCCCCACCCCCCTGTAACTCCACCTCTCAAATAAATAAATCTTTTTTTTTTTTTTTTTGACAGGCAGAGTTAGAAAGTGAGAGAGAGAGACAGAGAGGAAGGTTTTCCTTCAGTTGCTTCACCCCCCAAATGGCCGCTATGTCCGGCGTGCTGCACCAATCCGAAGCCAAGAGCCAGGTGCTTCCTCCTGGTCTCCCATGCAGGTGCAGGGCCCAAGCACTTGGGCCATCATCCACTGCTTTCCTGGGCCACAGCAGAAAGCTGGACTGGAAGAGGAGCAACTGGGACAGAACCGGCGCCCCAGTCGGGACTAGAACCTGGTGTGCTGGCACCACAGGCGGAGGATTAGCCTAGTGAGCTGCGGCGCCGCTTTAAATAAATCTTTTAAAAATAAAAAAAATAAAAACTCTTCTGTTGCTTTTCAAAAATATTTTTCATAAAAATATAATACATTAATATATGATAGGCTTGTTGTTTTTTAAATGAATTAACACATTTTTAAGTGTCTGGTTTAAATGCTAATGTGGTAAATATTACTAAATATATCCCACAAAAGCAAAGCGCTCTGGGGTCTTCCACAGTTTTAAAAGCGGAAAGAGGTCCTGAGACCGTGCAGGATGAAAGCTGCTGGAGGAGCTGGCAGACTCCAGCCCTGAAGTCTAACTGCGCTCTCTGCTGCCTTCAGGAATCAGGCTTCAGGGGGGCCCAGCCATGCCCACGTGGTCACACAGCGCGCACGGCTGCTTCTGCAGCACAACCTCCCACGCGTGTAGCAGAGAAGCCGCTGCAAGAGGACAGACCGGGAAGACAAGCCCCGCCTCCCTCAGCCTCAACTTGTGCATCTGCAACGTGGAACGAGCAGAGTCCAGGGAGCAGCGAGCTACAGTACCCGTGGTGAGGCCACCTGCAGCAGCGACCACTCAGCGCACGCACGCCAGAGCCCTGGGTGACTGGGCCCTCCCTGGCAAGCACACAGCTGGGGCTGGGCCAGCGACGTCCCCTGCCCCACCGCAGGCCCCTGCGGCCACGTGCCCCGCCCTCACCTCCACCAGCTTCACCACGTTGGGGTGGTCCAGCTTCTTGAGGATGGCGATCTCCTGGTACACCTGCTCGATTGGGCCCCGGGGCTGGATGCAGCCGCCTGGGGCTGGCCGGGTGCCTCGGGGAGGGGGGCGACCTGGAGGAGACACAGAGGGAGCAGGGGTCAGGCCAGGGGCCCTTCCCGCAGGTGCCACCGGAGGGGCAGGTCTCCTAAGGGCTGCAGCGGCGATTTCCCAGGGCGTCAGCCAGGCTCCTCCTCATCTCTACCCTGCACCGCAGCCTCGCCTCGAATCCCCTCCTTCCTGTCACACCCCCCAGTCCACGCACGGTGACTGGGGTCTGGCTCAGCAACCTCCACGTGCCAGGGCGACGTGCTCACTTCCCTGTCGGTGAAATGGACGCGAACATCATCCCTCCTGTCCTCACTCACGGACACGGCACATGCGCAACAGGAGCACAGAGAGTGGAGAAGAGTAAAGCGCTGGCCAGAAACGAGCGGCCTGGCCCCGCGGTGCAGGGCTCACGACGGACCGCAGGGATGGAAAGGCCGGCCTCGACCCCTCGCATCATCACACCCCTCACGTGGTCACACCCCTGCACCTCAGACCCCTCAGGTGGTCACACCCCTCACATGGTCACACCCTTACACCTCAGACCCCTCAGGTGGTCACACCCCTACACCTCAGACCCCTCACGTGGTCACACCCCTGCACCTCAGACCTCTCAGGTGGTCACACCCCTGCACCTCAGACCCCTCACATCGTCACACCCCTCACATGGTCACACCCCTGCACCTCAGACCCCTCACATCATCACACCCCTACACCTCAGACCCCTCAGGTGGTCACACCCCTGCACCTCAGACCCCTCACGTGGTCACACCCCTACACCTCAGAGCCCTCACATTGTCACACCCCTACACCTCAGACCCCTCAGGTGGTCACACCCCTGCACCTCAGACCCCTCATGTCGTCACACCCCTCACATGGTCACATCCCTGCACCCCAGACTTCTAACGTCATCACACCCCTCATGTGGTCACACCCCTGCACCTCAGACCCCTCACGTCGTCACACCCCTCGCACCTCAGACTCCTTTCGTCTCCACTTCCAATCCAGCTCCCTGCTAATGGCCCCTGCTTAGCCCCTGCACCCAGGAGGGAGACCTGGAAGAAGCTCCTGGCTTCATTACCAACCCAGCTGCAGCCGCTGCAGTCACTTGGGGAGTGAACTAGCAGATGGAAGATCGGTCTTTCCCTCTCTCTCTCTGAAACTCTACCTTTCAAATAAATAAATAAACCTTTTTAAAAATGTGTACTGGTCATTCATAAAGTTTTGTAACCATCACTACTACCTAACTCCAGAACATTGCCACTGCCCATCCCCCCAACAGCACGGCCTCCATCAGCAGCCACCCCTCATTCCCCCAGTCCCTGGCAACCACTGATCCACGTTCTGTCTCTGTGGCTGTGCCACTCTGGGCACTTTATGTAAAAAGAATCAAACTCAGGGGCCGGCACTGTGGCACAGTGGGTTAATGCCCTGACCTGCATTGCCGGCATCCCACATGGGTGCCAGTTCATGTCCCCGCTGCTCCTCTTCGGATCCAGCTCTCTGCTATGGCCTGGGAAAGCACTAGAAGATGGCCCAAGTCCTTGAGCCCCTGCACCCCCATGGGAGACCGAAGCTCCTGGCTCCTGGCTTTGGATCGGCACAGCTCTGGCTGTTGCGGCCAACTGGGGAGTGAACCAGCAGATGGAAGACACCTCTCTCTCTCTCTCTCTCTCTCTCTCTCTACCTCTGCCTCTCTGTAGCTTTGCCTTTCAAATAAATAAATAAATAAATTTTTAAAAACAACAACAACAAAAAAGAAACACATCTGCGACCTTTTGCACCTGGCGTCTTTCAGGTAACAATTCGCTCCTGTTTATGGCTCAATGCTACTCCACCGGGCCACAGACACTGGTTCATCTACTGATGGGAACGGGCCTGTTTCCACCTGGAGGTCACCGTGAAGAGCGCATGTTTTCAGCTCTCTTTGGTATACAGTAGGTGCGGAATTGCTGAGTCAGATGGCAACTCCGTGCTCAGCTGTCTTCCTCTGTTGGATGTTTTTAGGGCCGACCATGAATAAACGACCTCAGAGGCGGCCCAGGTGGCACGGGTGTGGAGGGAGTGGAGGCAGGGGTGGGGGTGGGGGTTGCTGAGCCTGGGGACGCTGCTGGGTGGGCTCTGCCCTCTTGCCCTGGCCTGCCAGACTCACGTGGGAAGCCAGCCTGTCGGATCAGCTTCTTCTTGGACAGCACCTTCATGGCCTGTAAGAAAAAAAGAGTCCCCCCACCAGGTTAAGCAGCAGGGAGGGAAGACAAGGGGGAGTGAAGGGAGGCCTGCCTGAGCTCTGCCCCACCCCCGCCGCAGCCTTAGGACGAGGCGGCGGCGGGGGGGGGGGGGCAGGCAGCCCCCGGGGGCGCCGAGGCCGGGCTCCCAGAATTGATCCGACCCTGAGGTGCTTCTGGGGTTCTTGGTCAGCTGTCCCAGCTCAAGACCAAGAGCCTTGGGACCTTCTGTGAGCCGGGACAAGAGGTGAGGGAGGATGCAGGATAAGGGCGTGAGAGACATCTGCCAATCACCTCACCTGCCCGTTTCCTCATCTGTAAAATGGGCACACCACTTCCTTCCTGATGCACAAAACAAACACGACCCAAGGGTAAACTGAGACAACGGTGGCAACAAAACTTCTAGGGAGCGGAGAGCCAGATAGGGCGCGGAGAGCCAGACAGGGAGCTCCTCTTTGCGCCCAGGGCAGGGGAGAGGTGGGAAAGTGGCTACTCACGTAGTAGGTGTTGTCATTCTCGTTGTAGGCCAGCTTGACCACGCCATAGGAGCCCTGGGTAAAGGGAAATGCCCATGACACTCTATACACAAGTTAGAATCTGCAAAACAAGGACCCTAATACACAGGTTGCAAGCTGATAGCCCACTGGTCAGATCTGCCTGCTAACCGTTACTCTGACGGACTCACGGTTGGTTTTTTTTTTTTTTTTTTACAAAGTTTGAATTGCCAACATGTAAAAATATTAAGATCTGATATAAAAATCTAGATTCCCAGCTTCTTTTGAGAAAAATGTAAAGCTTGAGCCACGGGTTGCCCTCATCTCCCACATTAACACACTGCCACAGACCTCACCGCCACCCCCACCTCCCACCTACACTGCTTCACTCCGGCAGGCCCTCATTTCCAGAAGCTGTTTGCCACAGTCCTCACCACTCTCTACTGCCTCACACCCAGTCTGCCTTGCTCTTCCGTATCGCTCACTGGTTTCCCTTCGGCATTTGAGTTTCTGACGCCTGCAGTGACACTGTCCCTTGGCTAAGACAAAAGCAGAAGTAGATGTGAGAGTTCCTTAGCAGGGAGAATCCCACTGACATGATGGAATGGGACCATCACCATGGCAACATGAGATTTCTCTGGAAGCTGAGTTTTGCAGAAATGCATTTGATTTTAAGACATAAAAATAATTTTATTTTTTTAACAAATCCTACACGAGTAAGAAAACCCGTCCCACCAACACTGCCTCCCAAGGCTCCTCTGCTGCTCTCGGCTCTGACAGGCCGTTCTGGGCTTCCTCCGGCGCATCTGAGCTGTCCCCACGCAGGGGGAAGACCAGCCTGGCTTCTGCTTTTACCTTTCCGATTTCATCCTTCAGCGTGTACTGGTTCAGCTGCACACAGTCCTGAAAAGCAAGCAGGGAAACATGGAAAATGAGTTGCAAACTGCTACCAGCTATGTTTTAAACAGGCTCCACACACACACACACAACCAGGACCCAAATCAAGAAAGAGAAACACTCCCGACCGTCACCCCCTCCCCAAGATGACCGCTTCCCTGACTTCCACCAGCACAGATTTGCTCGCTCTCATACTGTGTCAAAAGTGTATTCATACGGGAGCAGGCACTGTGGCACAGTGGGTTAAGCTGTCCCCTGCAGTGCTGGCATCCCATATGGGCACTAGTTCAAGTCCCAGCTGCTCCACTTCCAATCCAGCTCCCTGCTAATGCACCTGCTAAAGCAGTAGAAGAAGGCCCAAGTGCTTGGGTCCCTGCCACCCACATGGGAGTCCCAGATGGAGTTCCAGGCTTCAGGATCCAGCCTGGCCCAGCTGTGGCAGGTACAGGCATTTACAGAGTCAACACCTGGATGGAAGATCTCTGTCTGTCTCTCAAATAAATGAACACACACACATTAATTAAAAAGATTTTAATGTAATACTATGATATGAAGTCTTTTAATACCCAACAGCTGCTCCCACTTTTTAAAGGCAAATTTTAAATTAAACAATTAATCATGATGACATCACCCTGCAAAAGTATAGAAAGACTTAAGAGAAGAGAATCTGTACACAGCCTTAGCGGAGACAAAGGCTTCTTGGATGACACACAAAAAGTAAAAGACAGAAAAAGAGGGGCCCAGCACTGTGGGGCAGCAGGTTAAAGCCCTGGCCTGCAGTGCCGGCATCTCACATGGGCACTGGTTCTAGTCCCAGCCGCTCCTGTTCCGATCCAGCTCTCTGCTATGGCCTGGGAAAGCAGTAGAAGATGGCCCAAGTCCTTGGGCCCCTGCACCCGTGTGGGAGACCTGGAAGAAGCTCTTGGCTCCTGGCTTCGGATCGGCACAGCTCCGGCCATTGCAGCCATCTGGGGAGTGAACCAGTGGATGGAAGACCTCTCTCTCTGTCTCTACCTCTCTCTCTGTAACTCTTTCAAATAAATAAAATAAATATTTTTTTAAAAGAAACAAATGATAAGAGGGACAAAATTAAAACTTCCGCTCTTCAAGATGTTATCAAAAAAGAAAAGACAAAGTCCCAGACTGACAGAAGCCGCTCAGGGCACAGCTATGAGACCAAGGCCCAGTACCCACAATAAACAAAGAGCTCTTGGGACTCACTAACTGGACAATGAACAACCCAGCTGCTGCAGGCATCAGGGAGTAAACCGCTGGATGGGAGCACTCACTCTACTTAAAAAAAAAAAAAAAAGTGAGGCCAGCGTCATGATGCAGGCTAAGCAGCCACCGGTGACACCTGCAACCTGTATCAGAACTTCCGAGCCAGCTCCCTGCTGTGCACCTGGGAAGGCAGGGGGAGATGAGCCAGGTGCTTGGGCCCCTGCCACCAACATGCAAGACCAGGATAGAGTCCCAGATTCCTGCTTCAGGCTACCCAGGCCAGGCCATTCTAGGCATTTGGGGAGTGACCCAGCAGACGGACGGTATCTCTCTCTGCCACTCTGCCTTTCAAATCAATACAATAAAACTTTTCTAAAAAATGCACATTAGAGGCTGGTGCTGTAGCACAGCAGGTTAAAGCCCGGGCCTGCAGCACCGGCATCCCATATGGGCCCAGGAACAAGTCCTGGCTGCTCCACTTCTGATCCAGCTCCCTGCTAATGCACCTGGGAAAGCAGTGGAAGATGGCCCAAGTGCTTGGGCCTCTGCAGCCACGTGGTAGACCTGGAAGAAGCTCCTGGCTTCGGATCGGCTCAGCTCTGGCTGATGCAGCCATTTGGGGAGTGAACCAGCAGATGGAAGACCTCTCCCACTCTGTCTCTACCTCTGTCTGTAACACTTTTAAATAAAATAAAAGATAACTTTTAAAAAATGCATATTAGTCATCAAGGAAATGTATATCAAAGGCATACCCTCGGGGCCAGCGCTGTGGCTCACTTGGTTAATCCTCCGCCTGCAGCACCGGCATCCCATATGGGCACCGGGTTCTAGTCCTGGTTGCTCCTCTTCCAGTCCAGCTCTCTGCTATGGCCTGGGAAGGCAGTGGAGGATGGCCCAAGTGCTTGGACCCCTGCACCCGCATGGGAGACCAGGAAGAAGCACCTGGGTCCTGGCTTCAGATTGGCGCAGTGCCGGCCGTAGCGGCCATTTGGGAAGTAAATCAATGGAAGACCTTTCTCTCTGTCTCTCACTATCTAACTCTACCTGTCAAATAAATTAAAAAAAAAAAAAAAAAAGGCATACCCTCCAGGTTCATTAAAGTCAGGAAAACTGACCAGACCCAGCTTTGCAAGAACAGAGCAAAAAAACCTTCACTTGCTACTGACGGGAGGTCAATGGAGGCCTCAAATGGTCTTGCAGTTTTTGTTTTGTTGTTTTTTAAAAGACTTATTTTATTATTTGAAAGACAGAGTTACAGAGAGGGAAGGGGGGGAGGCCAAGAAGAGAGATCTTCCACCCACTGGTTTCACTCCCCAAATTGGCCCACAAGGGGCCAGGGCTGGGCCAGGTCCAAAAGTCAGGGAGCCAGGGAGCTTTCTTCTGGGTCTCCCAAAGGGGGTGCCAGGGGGCCCAAGCACTTGGGCCCATCCTTCCCCTCCACTGCTTTCATAGGAGCATTAGCAAGGAGCTGGATCAGAAGTGGAGCAGCCGGGACTTGAACCAGCACCCATATGGGATGCCAGTGCTGCAGGCAGCAGCTTAGCCCACTTAACCAGCCATAGCGCTGACCCCTGGCAGATCCTTAACATAGACCTACCAAATCCCAATCCAGCCACTCGATACACACCTCCCATACAACCCAGCCACTCGGCTCCTAAGAGAAATAAAAACATGTCCACAAAGACACATATACAAATGCTCATAAGAGCTTTTTCTTGTAAAAGTCAAAAACTGGAAAGCAAACCAAACATCCACCCACCGGTGAATGGAAGAGCAAACCGTGATCCATCCCTTCAACAGGCCACTACTGAGCAGTGGGAAGCAATGATGACAGGTTTACAAGCAACATGGCTAAATCTCAGAAGCATTATGTGTGAGAGAAGCTACGTTACAAGACCACATACTAAACAGCCCCTTACATACAATTCTAGAAGCTGCAAACAAATCTGTAAAGATTTAGAAAAAAAAAAGTAGATTTGGGGCCAGCGCTGTGGTGTAGCAGTTTAAGCCACGGTCTGCAGAGCTGGCATTCTATATGGGCGCCAGTCAAGTCCCAGCTGCTCCACTTCTTATCCAGCTCCCTGCTAATGCACCTGGGAAAGCAACAGATGATGGCCCAAGTGGGCCCCTGCACCCACATGGGAGACTCCGAAGAAGCTCCTGGCTTCAGATCGGCCCATTTCTGGCCATTGCGGTCATCTGGGGAGTGAACCTGCAGATGGAAGCTCTCTGCTCCTTTGTAACTCTGCCTTTCAAATAAATAAATAAATCTCTTTTTTTAAAAAAATTAGGTCATCAGCGTCCCAGGAAAGGGGAAATGGGGAAGGAGTGGATTATCGGGCCTGCTAGAAGTATCCATTACCTTGCTGGTGACGATGGCTTCACAGGTGTAGACATACATCAAAACTAGACATGGTCTACACTTGGAAGAGGTGCAGTGCTGTTTGTTTGTTTTTTGACTTCAATCGTACTGGGGCTGGCATTGTGCCACGCAAGTTAAGCTGCCTTGGCATCTCGTATTGAAGCACCTGTCCCAGTCCATCTCCCTGCTAATGCCCCAGGAAGCATCAGAAGAGGGAACAAGTACTGGGGCTCCTGCCTCCCATGTGGGAGACCCAGATGGAGTTCCAGACTCCTGGATTCAGTCTGAGCCCAGACTCAGCTGTTGCAGCCATTTGGGGAGTGAATCAGCAGACAGAAGATCTCTCTCTTTCTATCTTCCAAATAAAAAAAATCTTCAATCATCCACTTACATAGTTAAGGGGAAATATTAAGTGATATAAGAAGTAAAACTGTTGCAGAAACAAGACAGAAAACCAAGCACGCCTTGTCACAGATGAGCCCAGAGTTTCCCATCTGGGGAGTGAACCAGTGGATGGAAGACCTCTACATCTATCTCTTACTCTCTCTTTCTGCCTCTGCCACTCTCTCTCTTTCTCTCTCTGTAATTCTGCCTTTCAAAAATTTATTTGAGGGGCCCTGCTGTGGTCTGGGCATCACCTGGGAGGCTGAGTGGTCGGTCCTCCCACCCAGGCCCAGGCGTCCCGGCTTGGTCCCCACGGTGGCGCTGTGGGGAGGAGCCTTAGCAGACGGACCTGGTGGGCGCCCGTAGGCCCCTCAGAATGCAGTTTTCACGACCTTCGAATAAAATCCTGGTTGGGTCTGGTCTCTGCTTCCTGCCTACCATCTGACCTTCACCTCCCCCACACACCTTCACACTCGCTCCACCACAACCACCTGCTGCGCTCACCAGAGGCCAAACCAACACAACCACCAGATCTTGGACTTGAACCTCCAAAGCTGTGAGCTACATATGCCTTTTTTCATCACAGAGTTAACTGTCTCAGGCACATCGTGCCAGTAAGAAAACGGTGCCCAACACACCCCTCCAACGCTAACTCTCTTTCTGAGCCCTGCTATCAGTTTGGTGTATACCAAGGGTGGGGAACCTTTTTTCTGCCAACAGCCATTTGGATGTTTGATGATTGTTTACAGGCCACACGAAATGTTCAACTTGAACAGCAGCCTGCAGGGACTGGCACTGTGGTGTAGTGGGTAAAGCTGCCACCTGCAGCACCAGCATCCATGTGGGCACCAGGTGGTGTCCCAGCTGCTCCACTTCTAATCCTGCTCCCTGTTAGTGCACCTGAGAAAGCAGCAGAAGATGGCCCAAGTGCCTGGGCCCCTGCATCCGTGTGGGAGACCTGGAGGAAGCTCTTGGCTTCGGATGAGCCAGCTCCGGTCATTGCGGCCATTTGGGGAGTGAACCAGCAGATGGAAGAACTCTACATCTCTGACTCTGCCTTTGCTACTTTCTCTAATTCTACCTTTCAAAAGTTTACTTGAGGGGCCAGCGCTGTGGCACAGTGGGTAAAGCCGCCACTTGCAGTGCCAGCATCCCATATGGGTGCTGGTTCAAGTCCCGGCTGCTCCACTTCTGATCCAGCTCTCTGCTGTGGAGCCAAGTGCTTGGGCCCCTGCATGGGAGACCCAGAAGAACCTCCTGGCTCCTGGCTTCAGATTGGTGTAGCTCCAGCCATTGCAGCCATCTGGGGAGTGAACCAGCGGATGAAAGATCTCTCTCTCTCTCTTCTTCTCTCCCTCTCTCTCTGCCTCTGCGCCTTTCAAATAAATAAAAAAATCTTGAAAAAAATTGATTTGAGTTAGAAAATCTTCCATCTGCTGGTTCACTGCCCAAATGGCCATAACAGCCAGAGCTGGGCTGATCCAAAGCCAGGAGCCAGGAGCTTCTTCTGGGTCCCCTACAGGGGTACAGGGGCCCAAGTTCTTGGGCCATCCTCTGTTGCTTTCCAAGGCATATTAGCAAGGAGCTGGATAGGAAGTGGAGCAGCTGGGATTCAAACTGGCGCCCATGTAGGATGCTGGCATGTCAGGAACTGCTACAGTGCCCCAATAAATCTTTTCAAGAATTCACCTGCTGTAGATGTACTGAATGTTGAGTCCCACCTGTGGCTGCCTTGGCAGGGCCAGAACAAGCAAGCTCACAGGCCATTATCTGCCTGTGGGCTGTATGTTCCCACCCCTGGTGTTCGCACTTGCAGGCCCTTTCTTGGTGTGCATTGGAAAAAAAAAAAAAATCCAGAGTATCACTGGGGACTGGGGCTTGGGAAGGCATGGATGATGTCACATTAATCCATTTCTCCACTTCCTTTTCTTGATCTCACAATGGCACCAGCCAGCTCCTGGTCAGAATGCACATCTGTCCTCCCACCTGCTCACAGCCCTCCCCACACGGTCGATGCTTAGCTGCTCTTGTTCCCCTGAGACATGGAGGGATGCGAAACGTAGAGGTGGGGGCCCTGGGGAGCTGCCTTTAGGATCCTGCTGCCTCCTAATCCAGTCCCCAGACGCTGCTGAAGTGACCTCCCGACAGTCCGCCCGACCTTGTCCACTCCGGCACGCAGCTGCCTCCGGGCACGGGGCTCACTCCATGGCCGGGCCTTCGAGGCCCTCTGACCTCAGGGAGTCGTCTTCATTCTCCCTGTGACCTCTGACGAGCTGCATTTCCCAGCGCTCCCGCAGCCAGGGCTGGCCACAGGGCTGGGTTCTGGCCAGCGGAAGGTAGGCGGTTGTTGGGTAGAGGGTCCACGTGAGAGGACCGACTCAGGAGGCAGATGCCTTTTTGGCCCTCTCCCTGCTCCTCCGTCCTGCCTGGAGAGAACCAGGTGGGTCCTGGAGCTCCTGGCTACAAAATTATTCTGCATGAAAAACAAGCCCAATTCTGTGACTGTCACCTTCATTTGAACCAACACAAACCCAAAGTGTCCCCGACCTCCATGGCCACAGTGCTCCTGGCCACGGACCCATCCTGCAGCTAAGTGAATTCCATCCACGTCCCCATCCCGTCAGCCCTCTGGCCCCACGACACTGAACCCTCCACGCGGTCATGTCCACTTACAGACATTCTACCCAGCCCACAGAAGCGCATCCCCTGCAAGATAAAGCCAATCCAGATTGCGACTCTTCTCCCAACTAACACTCTTTCCACAAATATCTTCCAGCTCCCACTGTGCGCCAGGCGTTGGCGCTAGGCTCTGGGGACGCAGTGGTGATGAGGGGTCCCTACAGAGCTAACTTCTAGCTGGGGGCACAAGACAAGAGATGAACAGCTGAACACACACCCCCCCCCCAGATGGTGGGCGTTACGAAGAAAGGAGGGGGTTACAGGCAGAGAGGGGAGGGGCCGCCCTGAGGAGGGTGGGTGGCAAGGCCTCCCGGGAGGCGGTGATGGCTCAGTGGAGACTTGCACACTGGATTCAGACAGCTTCGAGAAGTTTGCAGGGGTCGGGGGAGGTTCCAAGCAAAGGAACGGGAGAGTACAGAACTGCAGGAGAGAACCGGCGTGGGAGTCCCCGGAATACAATGAAGGCAGGCGTGGGCGAAGCTGGTAAGCCAGCAGCAGGGGGGGGGGGGAGGCCTGAGAGCCCTGTGGAGGGAGGGGGTCTGAGTTCTAATCCACCCTCAGGTGCTGACGGAGAAATACACAGGAAATGCCGGACTCACAGCTCTCAGCAGTGGGTACCAGGGCCCTCAGAGACCCGCCACAGCCCCTCGCCTGTGCCTGCATCTCGTGGCTGCGGCCTCCCACTGGCCGTGGGACTGCTCTGTCCACTCCCATGCCAGTCACCCCCACCAACGACGGAGAGCAGCCTGCCCGCCCCCCTGGTTCTACGAGTGCACAGTAGCCACGGACCCCGGACCATCCCTCTGCTGGCTTCCTTCCCTTCCCGGGGTGCTGTGTCTCCCACCTGAATCCCCTTGGGGCAGCCAACCCAACAGGAAGACCCTGGGAGGCAGGGAGCACACACACCTGCATGCCCGTGATGGAGACGTGGTGAGACTCCACCGTGGGCCGCCTGGGCAGCCGCGGCGAGGACTGTGGGGAGCTGGCGGGTGAGTAGGGCACGGACGGGTGGATGCAGCGTCCATTCATGTCCAAGCTGCTGCTGGCCGCCAGCCTGCCCTGGGACCGCTCCTGCAGGGAGAGCTTGCGACCACACAGGTGGGGCCGGGCCTGGGAAGCAGAGGCGTCGAGGGGGACCTCCGGGCCATCGGCCTCCAGGGGTCCTTGGTCCTGGGCCAAGCTGAGGTCCACGGCCCGGCCCGGCTCACACTCAGTGACCACGATGAAGGACTCCATGCCCAGGCGGATGCTCAAAGACGAAAGGCCTCGCAGGGCCTCGCAGGACTTCTGGCCTTCGATGCTGCTGCCCCCGCCCCCCAGGTCATCCTGGGGGGCAGCCGGGTCGCCGCTGGGCTGGCTAGAGATGCATGATGACATGGTGCATGTGCTGACTTCCTCTGTCGCTCCGGGGCATGCCCATCCGGCAGTGACGGCACCTGCAGAGACAGGAAGGGTCAGCGGCTTCCACCCCGAGCCGGCGGGGACCAGGAAGGGAACGCGACCCCTCCTGGCCCAAGCTGATGTCTAATTCCTGTCGGGCCAACATCCTAAAAGCATCTTGCAAAATCCGATGTGCTCTGATCTCGGAGCCTGTACGGAAAAGCGGACTCTGTACCTCATCTTATTCTTTCAACTTTTTTTTTTCTTGGCGAGGCAGAGAGACAGAGACAGACAAAGAGAATGGCTCCAAACTGCTGATTCACTCTCCAAATGCCAACAAGGGCCAAAGCCAGGAGCCAGAAACTCAATCCAGATGTCCCACATGGATGGCAGGAACTGTTACTTAAGCTGTCACCACGGCCTCCCAGGCAGCTGGAGTCGGGAGCTGGAGGTAGGTACTGAACCCAAGCATTCCACCAAGGGCCTTGGGCACCTTAACCACCAGGCCGAATGCTGTATCTCCTTATTTTAGTTTTTTAAACTTTATTTTTATTTATCTGAAAGGCAGAGCAACAGAGAGAGAGAGAGATCTTCCATGCACTGGTTCATTCCCTAAATGCTCACAACAGCCAAGGCTGAACCCGGTCAAAGCCAAAAGCTGGGAAGTTGACCTTGGTCTCCCACACGGGGGCAGGAATCCAACTCCTTGAGCCATCACCTGCTGCCGGCCAGGGTGCGCATTAGGAATCCAGAGAGGAACCAGCGGCAGGACCCGATCCCAGGCACTCGAACACGCAATAAAGGCGCCCCAAGAAGCGTCGTCACCTGCTATGCTCCGACGCCCACCCCGGAGCCTCCTCACACCCCACGACTAAGAATCCACGCTCAATCCCTGTAGCAACCAAACACAAGGAAAACCCCGAGAGCTCACCTGCCCCTGGAGCACGGGCAGGGACCTGGGCCCCCTACGCCGGGCTTCCCTATTCTTTCTTCCTTCGAGGGAACCCCTAAGGATGTTAGTTGGTTAAAATCAGTAGGTTTTTTTGTTTTTTTGTCTTTTATTTCTATCTGACAGGCAGAGTGGACAGTGAGAGAGAGACAGAGAGAAAGGTCTTCCTTTTTGCCGTTGGTTCACCCTCCAATGGCTGCCACGACTGGTGCGCTGTGGCCAGCGCACCGCGCTGATCCGATGGCAGGAGCCAGGTACTTATCCTGGTCTCCCATGGGGTGCAGGGTCCAAGCACTTGGGCCATCCTCCACTGCACTCCCGGGCCACAGCAGAGAGCTGGCCTGGAAGAGGGGCAACCGGGACAGAATCCGGCGCCCTGACCGGGACTAGAACCCGCCGGTGTGCCAGCGCCGCAAGGCAGAGGATTAGCTTAGTGAGCCGCGCCACCAGCCTAAAATCAGCAGTTATTTTAACTATTTAAACTTTTTTTTTTTTTTTTGACAGGCAGAGTGGACAGTGAGAGAGAGAGAGACAGAGAGAAAGGTCTTCCTTTTTGCCATTGCTTCACCCTCCAATGGCAGCCGCGGCCGGCGCATCGCACTAATCTGAAGCCAGGAGCCAGGTGCTTCTCCTGGTCTCCCATGGGGTGCAGGGCCCAAGCACTTGGGCCATCCTCCACTGCACTCCCTGGCCACAGCAGAGAGCTGGCCTGGAAGAGGGGCAACCGGGACAGAATCCGGCGCCCCGACCAGGACTAGAACCCGGTGTGCCGGTGCCGCAAGGTAGAGGATTAGCCTATTGAGCTGCGGCGCCGGCCAACTATTTAAACTTAAATATTTAAAACGGCAGGCAGGGTATCAGTACATAGTTTATAAAACATCTCCCAAAGGCAGGCATTCGGCACAGCTGCTGAAATGGCGATATCCTGTCTCAGAGAAGCTGGTTCAAGTCCCAGCTCCTCAGCTTCCGACCCAACTCCCTGCTAATGCGCACCCTGGGAGGCAACAGGAACAGTTCAAGAAGGTGGGTCCCTGCCACCCATGTCGGGGACCCAGACTGAGCCCTGGGCTCCTGGTTTGGGGTTGGCCCAGCTCAAACTGTTGCAGGTATTTAGGGAATGAGCTGGCGAAGAAAAGATCTGTATCTTTTCAAATAAAATGAAAATATAGGAGGCGATGCTGTGGCATAGAAGGTTAAGCCACCACCTAAAGTGCTGGCATCCCATATGGGCAACGGTTCAGACCCGGGCTGCTGTACTTCCAATCCAGCTCTCAGTTAAAGCTCCTGGAAAAGCACCGGAAGATGACCCAAGTGCTTGGGCCCCTGCACCCATGTAGGCGACCCAGAAGAAGCTCCTGGCTCCTGGCTTCAGCCTGGCCCAGCCCTGGCCGTTGCAGCCAGCTGGGGAGTGAACCACCAATGATGGAAGATCTCTCCCCGCCCCCCGCTTTCTCCTTCTCTGTATATATATCTCTGCCTTTCAAATAAATAAATAATTTTTTTAAAAGAAAAGAATATATAGTTTAAAAAAAAAAGCATAATCTTATTAGTGCTGTAAAAAGAGGTGCTATAAAAAGACACTGCAGGCCAGCGCCGCAGCTCACTAGGCTAATCCTCCGCCTTGCGGCGCCGGCACACCGGGTTCTAGTCCCAGTCAGGGCACCAGATTCTGTCCCGGTTGCCCCTCTTCCAGGCCAGCTCTCTGCTGTGGCCAGGGAGTGCAGTGGAGGATGGCCCAAGTGCTTGGCCCTGCACCCCATGGGAGACCAGGAGAAGCACCTGGCTCCTGCCATTGGCAGCACGGTGCGCTGGCCGCAGCGCGCCGGCCATTGGAGGGTGAACCAACGGCAAAGGAAGACCTTTCTCTCTCTCTCTCTCTCACTGTCCACTCTGTCAAAAAAAAAAAAGACACTGCAGCTTGGGGCACCCACACCCCTCACCGGAGGGCCGGGTTCCAGTCCCAGCTGCTCCATTTCCCACCCGGCTTCCTGTCAATGTGCCTGGGAAAGCAGCAGATGGAGACCCACGTATGTGGGTTCCTGCATTCATGTGAGACCCAGACGGAGCTCCTGACTCCTGGCCCAGGCCTGGCTGCTGCAGGCATCTGGGGAGAGAACTGACGAACAGAAGATCAATCTCTCTCTGCTGCTGCTGCTCTGCCTTTCAAATAAGTAAAAAATAAGTAAAACGCCGAATATGTTTCAATGGTTAATTTTCTATCATGTGAGCTTCGTTCTCAATTAAAAAGATGAACACGCTCCCTCAGGCTGTCACTTCTCTCCGTCTCTGGGACAGAATATTAACCTTTGGTTCTTGTGTTTGACAAATTCCGCTGGACAAATGTCACAGGTGCCACTGGAATGCAGAGCACATCTGAGGAGGGAGACGCTGGCCTCTCCGTGCCCATCACTCACGTCACAAAGGATGTCTCCGGTGCCGGGAAAAGCGTGGGTACTCAGCAGATTTATGGGTGACTAACACGATGTCTTGATGTCACAGAGCCGGGGCAGGGGGCAATAGAAGGGTGCAAAGAGTAACACGAAGCCAGGGCCCCCTGGAGGATCTGGCTGGGAGGCAGAGAAATGTCACCTGGCCCTCTTGGGACAGTCCTTCCAGAAGTTTCCAGAAGTATGTCTGAAACATCTACTATGTCAGGAATATGGCAGGGAAAATCCAATGGGAAAAGCATTAGGAACTAACGGCAACACCCCAGTCACAGGCAGAGGTCACGGTAAAGGAGCCACAACAAACCCACCACGTGAGACGATGCTCAGCCTCTCACAACACGAGCAGTGCAAATTCGAACCGTGCAGGGTACTGCCTGCACAGCAGTTCCTCCCCGGGGGTGTCCCCCAGGAAGTGACAGCAGAGACCCAAAGTGACACCTGCACACCCACGAGCACCGCGGCTTCATCCACAACAGGCAAAAGGCAGAACCAACCCAAGTGTCTGTCGACACGTGGACACGTCGGTAAAACATGGCAGAGCCTTCCGACACACGCTGCAACGCCGACAGCATCACACTCAATGCAGCAAACCAGATCCTAACGCCATGTGATCCCACCTACATGAGGCACTGGCAATGCGGGCAGAGTGAGGCTCAGAGAAGAGAGGGCGCGGGTTTAGAGAGGGGAAGACAAGCAGTTACGGTTTAGGGGTACAGGACTCCCTTGTTGGTGATGAAAATGAATGACGGCAACAGCCTACAACACCGTGGACGTACTTAATGCCACCGAACTGTATACCTAAAATGGTCAAGATGGAACATATAGGTAGAGTTCACCAAAATTAAGATAAGAATAAGACTACGGGAGGGCACTTGGCACAGTGGTTACGGCTCCTCTCGGGAGGCCCACATCCCCTCTCAGAGTGCCTGGTTCAGGTTCAGCTCCACTTCTGAGCCCGGCCTCCTGGGGGAGCAGCCGGTGATGGCTCAGGTCGCTGGGTCCCTGCCATCTATTGGGAGACCTGGCTTGAGCACCTAGCTTCCAGTTTTGACCTGGCCCAGCCCCAGCTGTGGGGGCATTTGGGAAGTGAACCAGCAGAGCGGGGACCTCTGCCTCTGTCTCCCTCTTGTCTTCTGGATAGATGCAATGTTTAAAAATAAAAAAAAGAATTACTATTTTTTTCATCTATCAGACTGGGAAAGACAGAAATATGAAAGATTAGCACGTCTGGGTGAGGCTGTGAGGAAGTGGATGCTTTTAAACAATGCTTCTGGAGGAAGATTGGCCAATATTCCACAAAATGTCAAACGCACACACTGGGGCCCGTGCATTTATCTTATGGCCAAGCTTACACAGGTAGAAACTGATGCATGTATGAGATTATTTTGGTAGTGTGGTTTTGATGAACACCCTAAATGAGATACATCTATCCCAAGAGGGATGCATACATGCATTTCAAAAACAGGTGGCTCTGCACACGCTGAGGTGAGTTAGTGCCAAGGCACACTGTCACTTTTGGGAAAAGCCAAAGCACTGGTGTGCAGCGCTGGATGGGAAAGCCCACCCTGCAACCGTGACTGCAGGTGCACTGTGCACGTGCGCAAAGAGGCACAAGAAAACGGCAGCAGTGGCCTCAGGGGAGGAGAAGGGGGAGGTCGGG